GGGGAGGCAGTGGGGAGGTGGTGGGACCCCAGGGGTCTCGCCCCCCGCTGCCGGTGTTGATGGAGCAGCGTCTCCCTCTCGTGGCCATAACTGAGTACTGCATCCAGGAGCCACACCTGCTCAGGGGAACCCCTGAAAGCTGCAACCTTGCTCCCCCACATGCCACAGAACCCGGCAGGGCTGCCTCAGCTGGGTCTGAGGGCATGGCGGCTGGTAAGACGCCAAGGCCCACGCAGCTGTCTCCTGCCGCTCTGCCCGCCTTTCGGCACAGGAAAGGCAGCCAGGGACCCTAAGAGGCACCCGCTGCTAGCCAGGCCCGTTTTCAGGGAACTGGATCGGAAACAGAGCAACCAGGACTTAAATCGGTGCTCTGATATGAGCCGTGGGCATCCCAAGTGGCAAGCTGACCCACTGCAGGGCAATGCCCACCTCTTGGCTTTAAGCTACACATCATAATTATACTGTTGCATCTTTTCTGCATGTATTAAACGAACGCTGCCTTTTTAAACTGATAAGCAAGGTCATAGGAGGTGAAGCTGCCATCTGGGACACCGGCTTGAGGCCCAGCTGTTCCACTTGCAGTCCAGCTCCCTGCCCATGCCCTGGGAAGGCAGCAGAGGACGGCCGTTGCACTTGGGCCCCTGCGTCCTTGTGGGGGACCTGGAGTAAGCCCCTGGCGTTGGCCTTGCTGGCCTGTGGCTGACTGGTGCAGGTACCTGAGTGAGCCAGTGGGTGGAAGATATAGCTCTCCCCATCTCTCCCTCTCTCTGTCTTTCAAATAAAAGTTTAAACTTGTGTTTTTTGAGGGGTTTTTGTTTTTTTTAACAAAGCCAGCTATCTTTAAGATTGCATAACCAGCAACCCTAAAACTTTCCTGCTGGAAGCGAGTCAAGTCTCATCTCACAGATTCTGAGGGGCGGGGGTCCAGGCTAGGCCCAGCTGGGCCCTGGGGCTCGTGGTCACCTGCTTGGATGGCAGTCCAGGAGCTGGTGGGGCTACTCAGGGCTTCCGGGGAAGTAGGGGGGGCGGTGTGATGCAGGCCCAGCTCTCCCATGTAGGGTTGGAACTTTGAGTTCAGACCCAGGGTGTGTGCCCGGAGCAGCAGCTCAGCTCCCTGCTGGTCTAATGCTTTGCTGTCACGCTCTTGGTTTTATCTCTGAACTTGAAGTTGCCAGAGGGCCATGAGGCATCCCTGTGGGCAGCGGAGACCGCACGGACAGCTTTGCGATCCCTCTGCAGCTCCCGGGAGCCCTCACGAACGCCGGCTGGGGAATCCTCCCTCCCCTGTGGAGGTCCGGCCAGAGGGAAGGAGAGTGTCAAGTGAGGGGCGTGGGAGGCCGTGGACTTTGGGGCAGAGTAAGCAGAATGCAGACGGGAAAACAGACCGGTCGACTTAGGCCGGGGCCGTGTGTTTGCAGTCCTGGCGGGGATGACGCACGCTACTGAGGCTTGGAGGAGCCGCAGCACACAGATTGGGTAACCGCGCCCGCTGCGCCCGAGGGACACGCCCTTGCACAGGCGTGGGGAAACTGGCCTTGCACAACACAGAGATGAGCAGTGAAACGTGTGCTGATAGCTTAAACATGTATTACAACACAGAGGACGTGGGGTGCGCCTGGTGGCACAGCATGTGAAGTGGTGGCTTGGGATGCCCGTGTCCAGCTTTCTCCTCCCTCTGCCCTTCTTGCCCAGCTCCCTGCTAGAGCACCAGGGGAGGCAGGCAGTAGGGGATGGCCCAAGTGCTTGGGTGCCTGCTGCCCAGAGTGGGAGCCCTGGCTTTGGCACAGCCCAGTCCCCAGCTGTTGCAGGCATCTGTGGAGTAAACCAGCAGGTGGAAGCTCTCCTTTTCATGCAGATGAGCACTGAATGACGCCCTGTACAGCAGCCCACACACTGTGAGATTGCGTGCTCGGAGGCATGCCCCCAGAGACGGGAGTCACTGGTAAGGATGACTTACCAGTGCTGGCAAAGGGAGGACCTGCCGCAGGGTCTGGAGTCCCTTGGCTGTGGACACAGACAGTGGTGCTGGCCGTGGGTCAGCCAGGTGCCGCTGAGCGACTCCCTCCATTGAGGAAACGCTGCGGGTCCCTAGCAGGGGCAGCTGCCAGGCCCACGTCAAGGGTTGGGCCCTGACCTGCTGCCCCTCCCAGGTCTCAGGCGCAGAGATTTCTTGGAAGTGGAGTCGGCTCAGGGGGAATGAGCTAAGATGAGGTCATCCCGGAACCGGGTGGCTCCCTGTCTTCATCCATAGGGGAAATGTGGACATGGCAGGTGGGCGGAAGGGCATCCTGGGAGCCCCGGAAAGGCCACCAAGAGCCCTGAGCAAGGGAGCCCTGCTAGGTCCCCCAGGCCTGGATGGGAGGGGAGGTACCAGAAGCAAAGATCTCCAGGGGCTGTATTAGCCACACCCCCACCCTGCTATCCCAATTCCTGTGTGGCCCGAGGCCAGGGATGGGGGTCAGGGTGGGGGGAAGCCAGGGAAATGGCATCCGGCTTGGGCCACGGCTGTCACGGGTTTGAGTCTCGGGAAGCCGTGGGAAGGAGAAGTGGCGAGTCATCAAGTAATAGGGCAGTTACACGAGTTTCCATCTGGGTGTTTGCTGGGTGCCGGGGACAGCCTCGGCGCCCTCAGCTTTGTTCATAGGGACGCTGGCAGGAACAGGGTGGGGAGTGAGGGGGAGCTACTGTGGGCCCAGGCAGATTCACAGAGCCACGATGGCCTCTCCTTACTGCTTCCTGGAACCTGGAGGGGCCAGCCACTCGGCCGCCCTGCTTCTGTCTGCTTCTTCACCTGCACCTGACTATCCGGGGGCCAGGGCATTGTCCCTGGGGCCTGCGGTCCTGGGGCACTGAGGACGATGGGGTGACCAACAGATGAGTGTTGTATTAAAACATTTTTGTCAGCATCCCATGTGGGCTCCGGTTTGAGTCCTGGCTGTCCCACCTCCCATCCAGCTCCCTGCTTGTGGCCTGGGAAAGCAGTCGAGGACGGCCCAAAGCCTTGGGACCCTGCATCTGCATGGGAGACCTGGAAGAAGCTCCTGGCTTCAGATTGGCTCAGCTCCAGCTGTTATGGCCATTTGGGTAGTGAATTAACAATGGAAGATCTTCGTGTCTTTCCTCCCTCTCTGTAAATCTGCCTTTTCAACAACAACAAAATAAATAAATAAATTTAAACTCTCAAAGAAATAATCATTGAGGGATGGCCTTTACTGCATTTGGTGTTTGTTTCAATGCCCTTGGCCAGCTGTTGTGCTCGGAGAGCCTTGGCAGGTGGACTAGCAGCCTGTGTGTTCATGTCTTCTTTGGAGGGCGTTATGGGCTGTTTCTGCTGGCTGAGCCCCGGGAGGCTTCTCCCACGGGTGTCCACCTTGCAGTGAAGGACAGGTGGCCCCGCGTGTCCACCTTGCACGGACTAGGAGGGCGCAGCGGCTGCGCTTCCAGGCGCGGCCAGCAGGGGTCGCACGCAGCCTCCCAAACTCGGGGTGCTCAGCCGGGGCCACTGACCCCTGCAGGGGCCAGTGGGGTCCAGGACAATGCCTGGACCCCTCCGTCCGCGGGGGAGCCTCCTCCGCGTGCAGAGCCTACAGCGGGAGCCACCCCCGCCTAGCCCCGCACACATCGCCAGGCCAGGAGTCTGTGGGTGGGGGCGGAGGGAACCTACCTCTGGACCACTTCTAGGAAGCTCCCCTGTGGTGGCCACTCTCTCAGTGGCAGGCCTGCCTCTCCTCCCCTCCGCCTTCTCCTCCCTGGTCCGGGTCCCCAGGGTGCTGGACCCAGGAGGCCCAGCAGGACCTGGAAGACCCCAGCACTAACTCACATACACACACACACCCTGTCTTGGTCACCCCAGAGACCCCCCATCACCGCTTTGGCCACAAGAGGTGCTAGTGTTGGATGCTGTCCCAGCCAGCTCCCTGCTGATGCACCTGGGAGAGCAGCAGAAGACGGCCCTAGTGCCTGGGCCTCTGCCCTCCACATGGGAGACCCGGAAGGCACTCCTGGCTCCAGCCTGGCCCAGTCCCAGCTGCTGCCGCCATTCGGGGAATGAGCCAGTAGATGGGAGATCTCTCTCTCTCTCTCTGTGGAAATAAATTAATGCTGAGGAGAGATGTGAGGGCAGCTCAGAACCGCTGAGAGCCTTGCCCAAGGTCACACAGCGTGCACATGCATGGAGTGTGGGTCCTGCCCTGTCCTGCAGGGCTGCCCTCCACCCCCGCGGGAGGGTCTGGCCTGGGCCACCTTGCACCCTGCCCTGGCTCATTTCGCACAGCTCCTCCTGGCCCCACTGGGTCAGGCTTAATCCCGCTCCCTGTCTGTGGGCCCAGCACTTCTGGTGCTGGCCACAAATACGTCTTTTCCTGTGTGTCAGCTGACAGGGCCCACATAGCCCAGAGCACCCCCACAGGCCAGGGGCCACTTCCTGCCTCTCTGACAATCCCCGGGGGCGGCCTGCTCTCCCTACTCCCAGGAACTTTGGCTGCCCCCGCCTCTAGACCCGGCCCAGTGGGGGCTGTGGGCGCAGTCTGGGGTCTGGGAGCGGAATCTCAGGGAAGGTGCTGGGGCCGAGGCTTCCGTTCCCAGGCGGTGCGGCCTGGGCGGTGGCGTCCGGCTCCCTGGCTCCCACCACGTCCCGGGCTCAGGCCCAGCAGGCCAAGGTTCAGTCCACGTGGGGGACACACAGGCCCTTCTGTCTGACCACAGCTCCCAGATTCCTTCCTCAATTCCCCTATCCTTGCCAGGACATTTCTAGAATGGTCTCCAAAGGCTCCTGACTTTATAAACAAAGGCAGACCTCTCCCTTCCTCTCCCCTCTCCCCCAGCACAGCTTTTATCATGCAGCCCCAGGCTCCCCACTTTAGAAGGCGAGAGATCCCCAGCGGCCCCCAGCCCCCCTTTGCAGCAGGGGCAGCTGGAGCTGGAGGAGACTGGGGGAGGGGAGGGGAACAGGCGCAGGTGGTGGCGGGAATGGACGGCGTGAGTGGCACTGGTCCAGGAGAACGGTCTGTTTAATGACCCGGGAGTCCGGCTACAAACAAGGCAGACCAGGACAGGGGACAGGCGGTCACATGGATGACGGCTTCAGGACGGCACGGAGGGACACAGGAACGGTGGTCACGGTGGCAGACATCCCGGGAGATGACACGCGAGACCAGGGGTCACATGGAGACTAGAGGGGCGGCGAGGGGTGCCCAGCTACCTGCTGCAGAGGCCTGGCAGGACCCCAGGCATTGTCCGGGCCTGCAGCTCTGCCCCCTGCTGGACAGCCTGCAGCGCCCTGGGTGATGCTGGCAGTGGAGGTGTCTCTACTGAGGCCCCACCTCAGCCACGTGCTCCCTCTTCAGCCCAGAGCTTCAGGGTGCCCCCCATCTGCCCTTGACCGTGCTAAGCCAAGGCAGTGAACCTAATCCTTTGGAGGAGGGACCGATTTGTTTTTTGCTTTAAAGTCGAGAGCAGGACTGTAGGGAGCTGGGTCCCCCATGGGGAATGACCGGACAAGCATAGGTGACCTGACCCTAACGCTGCCCGGTCCCATGCTGTGGTGCCGGCCCCACCGGGAGGTGGGCAGATAGAGGATAAGTATGTCTGTGTGCATATATATTATATATATTTATATAGAGAGGCTGCATATAGAATATCTCTGTATATATGGTGTGTGCGTGATGCGCTAGTGACGGCCGGCAGGCGGACATGGGGTAGTTCACTGGTCCCGGTTCCTGCTGGCCGCCAGCCAGATCAGAGTAGAAAAGCAAAGAGCGGGCCCGGCTGTGCAAGGTGGAGGGGTCCCCACCCGCCCCGCGGTTAGCATCTAGGCCGCCACCTCCCCGCAGCTCCAGGTGGGGTGGGGATGGGGGACAGCGGCCACAGCGGAGGCCCCCTCCGCTTCCTTGGCACCCAGAAACGGAGGGTCGAGGAGGATCTTCCGAACTCAGCCTTCTGCTCAAGAAACTGCCAGGAAGGGGGGAGGTGGAGAGGGTCCTAGGGCCCCGAGGAGGGCAGTGTGGCCGGTGGGCTGTGGACGAGACAGGAGATGCAGGAACAGGTTACAAGGGGCCATCTGCACCTGTCGGCACCCCCAGACCCAAGTTCTACGGGCCCCCTCGGCAATGGGTTCTAATATGGCCCAGGAGGGTGTGTGGCCAGAGCTCTCGCTGCTGTGTGGGTTGCCCTGGTCCTGGCTGCCTGTGTGGGGATGCAGTGCCAGGCTCAGCGGTAGAAGCATTCGACAAAGCAGATGTTTTAGCCCGGCGGTTCCAACGCCCACCATCTCCCACAGCTCTGCCTGGGTTAGTCCCATCAGCAGGTCCTGCTAACGGGGCAGCAGAGAATGGCTCCAGCAATAGTGGGAGACCTGGAAGCAGTTTCACAAACTGCACAGAGACGAGCTCTCTCCCTGGGTATGCTAATATGTGGTGCCATCTGTCTGGCCTGGCTCAGACCTCCCTGGCCAGCCGTCCACCCTGCCCACACAGGGGTATGTGTGTCCCCGAATGCTTACTGCCGTGCGCCCAGCCCCACCCTGTCCCATCGCTCACACAAAGGCACACACGCCTTGAAGCTGAGCAGCAGTACCTAGCCCACCTGCTCCTCTGCTAAGAGAAACTGGACCGGGGATGAGGGGGTCCTTCTAGAAGCTTCTCCGTGACTTCATCCCCCACCCTGAGCCCAGCCATATTTGGGCAGGAGGATGGGTCCACTGGCCTGGGTCCAGAGAGCCCACACCCCATACAGGACCAGGAGTGAGGGTACAGGGTGGGAAGATGCGCAGGGAAGATCCAAGGATGTGACAGCTGTGGGGGAGGGTGTCCAGGTCCAGCCAGGAGGTGGCGAGGGCCCAGCAAGAACCCAGTGGGCCTGGTCCAGGGGCAGATGACGCAAACCAAGCGTTTCCTGCTGCCTGGGGTTTGGCGAGCGCTGGGTCCCTGCGGGCAGAGGCGGGAGCGGGGGTGAACAAGGGGCGATGGCCATGTGTTTCTCATTCGTGTGGCCCGCCAGCCAGCTTGCTCTCCCCACCGTCCCTCTAGGCCCCTGGAAAAAAAGCCTTTTTTCTCTAGAAGCAGGAAGTCTTGTCTCCTGACTGTAAACAAACTCATCTTGGGCAGCAGAGCGGTCCTGGGAGAGGGGCCGGGCAGGCAAGTCCCTTCCTCCTCTCCTCTCTGGCCACTGGCTCCTCCCTGGACCCTGGGGTGCAGGGCTGCATCTGATGGGGGTCAGGGGGACCCCAAATCCTGGGCTCTGCCACTGCCCTCCGGTGGTACAGCCAGGTGAAGAAGCTCCCATCCCCCACTTCACTGGCTTCCTGTGCACGCTGGGCTCTGGGGCAAGCCAGGGTCCAGCTGTGTCCATCTGGACCGGGCCTCGCAGCAGCCAGCAACCCCCCAAAACTCCACTGCCCTGGGGGGAAGCCGACGTGGGGGCAGGGAACAGGAGTAAGCTGAGTGTTGGCGTGGCTAGTACAGTCAGCGACGGGAAGGGCAACAGGCCTGGCCTCCCCTACCCCCGACTCCGGCTCTAGCTGCACCCCTGCCGAACCTCCTGGGTAGGGCTGAGGCTGTGGGGGTGGAAGAGCCTGTGTGCAGGAGGTCTGGCCCCAGGAGCCTGGACAGGGGACCCGCCTTGGCTTTCAGCATGGGAAACTGTCTTGGGCCGCTGGCTGACCCCTCTTCCCCTTCCCGCTTGCAGCTCTCTCCCTACTCCGGACTCCACCTCCGCGCCTCCATTCAGCTCCCAGAGTGGGCCGCCCCTCCAGGGACCCTGGCAGTTGGGGGGGAGGCCAGAGCCTTCCCAGCTGCCCCTCGAATTTGTACAAGTCCCTGAGGCCGGCCACCCTCCTTGAGCCTAGACGTAAACATGGCCCCTGCTGGAGTGCCTGTGGGAGTGGCACGCAGGCTGGGCCCTGGGTGGGCTCAGGCACGCTCACACACATGTGCACTGGGCCTCGTGATCCGCCTGGCACCCATCCTCGCAGAGGCAAAGGGCTGAGGGGAGCAGAGGGGAGCATTGGTTGGCGTGAGATGGAAAAACAGCCCTGTGTGATTGGCGCCCAGGGAGGAAGCAGATGATAGAGTTGGCCTGGGCTGCCGCTTAGGCGCGGCTCAAGCCAGCCTGCCTGCCGGGAACCCCAGCAGCCAGCGGTGGCCTTGGATGCACTTGAACGCTCCCTTGCTCTAGGGAGGGCTTGTTCAGGGCCCCAGGGGTCCTAGAAAGGACTGGAGGCCTCGGGGTTGGGGGGGACAGGAGAGGACACACCAGGGAGGCTGCTGCCCGGCCCACCCTCGCCCGCCTCCTCACGTGCTGGCGTTGGGGACCTGCTGTACCCAGCCCACTTCCTTGTAGGCAGCGGTCACATGACTGTAGATGAGGCCTCGCAGCTTGGCCCAGGCTCTCTGCGTCTCCGGCGGGAAGTCATTGGCAAACTCCTCTGCAACCACCTCCAGGATAACCCCAGAGAGGATCTGGGGGGGGGCAAAGGCAGGGAGGGGCATGAATGCTGGGGGTCCTGCAGCCCCCAGCACCCCCCCACCTCCAGGCCCCCTTTATCCTGCCTCTGGCCCAGCAGCGGTGGGAGCCAGACTGGCTGGACTGCCTCCCCTGTAGCTGTCCTGCTGGGAGGGGCTGGGGGCTCGTGGTCACCTGCTCCACACCCCCGTCCCCCGCTGTCATGCAGGTTGCAGGCTGGGACACGCAGTGCCCGGACTTACCTTGAAGTACACGGGCTCCACCTTGTGCTTGAGGGCGTGGGCCTTGCCCACCAACGCCAGCACAGAGGACACCTTGTCGGGGTCGTGCAGGTTCTCCACGACGGTGTTGAGGGCCCCCATGACCCGGCAGGCATGCTTCCGCAGCTGCGGGCTCCGTTCCATCTCCAGTGGCTCCTCCATGTGCTTGAACTGGCTGAAGTACTGCTTGGCCGAGGGGAAGTTCACGAAGAACCTAGCCGGACCGGGAGAGGGCACTGGAGTGGGAGTGGGAGGGATGCCCAGGGGTCTGAGAAAGCCACCTGCTGGCTATGTTCTTAAGGATGTCCCCCAACACAGTCCCTCGCTCTGGCCAGCTGGCTGGTATCCGTTTCCATGCCCGTCCAGCCCAGGCTGGCAGAACTTCCTCTTCCGGGCATCTGCTCTGCTCACTGCTTGCTGACCTTGCTCTTGCAGGTGCAGCTGTGGGGCTGCTGGGACAGCTGGCCGGAGCCGCAGCAGCCCACGCACACAACGGGCCCCGTCTCGTGGGCTGCCATGAGTGTTGGATGAGGAGCTGCCCGCTGGGTGCCCGGCTACGCCCAGGACACAGTTCCTGTGTGTCGGCTGCAGCCTCAGTGAAGCAGAGCCTGGTTCGGGTGACCTGCTGAAGGTCACCCGGCCGGCAATGAGGACCCAGGGTCCCTCCTTCCCGTTTCCCTGCATGAGCACCGTGTGATTTAATTAAAAGGGAGGCCATGAGATGAGCGAGGTTCCGGGGTGACATGGGGTAAAAGAACATCAACTCTCTCCACGCTCCCTGGTGTGTCCCCAGGCCCTCCAGCTCTGACCCCTCTGCACCCTAGTGCCTGAGGTCATCCAGTTCCCTGTGTAAGATACAGCTTTCCTAAGGTCACGCTCAAGCTCTAAAACCTTCAATGGCTCCCTACTGTCTACCAGACAAAAGCCAAAACTCCCTAACCGCGCAGTGCAGGCCTCTCCCAGGTCCAGGAATGCTGTGCCTGTGCCATGCCCACAGCAGCTTCCCTCACCCCCGGAGTGCCAGCAGCCCTCTCACCCAGCCTTTCTTCCAGGGCACCCGTCTGTCCCTGCGCTCCAGGCTGGCCCGGGACTCCCACTGCCCCCCTTGGGGCTTCCCTGCCACATGTCTGGGCGCTTGGCACGTTCCTGCCGGGGCCCTGTGAGGTTAACATCCACACCTCCCTTCTCAAGCGGGGCTGTCATGTGAACCCCGTGCAAGAACTTACATAACTCAGTGGAACCCTCGGAACTCAGCCAGGCTGTCTGGGGCCTGGGGGCTGGGGTGTTTTCACACCTCGCTGCATCCCTTCAAGGCCAGACGAGCCGTTGGGGAGGGGGGTGGCAGGAGCGGGACCACACTCCTGGGACAGCTTTCCACCATTTGCCATTCGGGGCAACGGAGCTGCCACTGGTGATGGGGGGGGGGGCGGGAGGGAGGTGGGGGGCTGGAGGAGACAAAGTCAGATGAGACCAAACCTTTGCCAACCCCCAACCCGCCACCCCGGGAACATGGGTCAGGACCAGCGGGGGGCGGTGGGTCTTCAGGAACCCTGGGCTTTTCTAGCAAAATGTAGCAACGAAGGACAAGCCTGGGAAATCTCACTCTGGCTTCATTCACTGCCTCTGCAGGGACTGTGGCCTTAAGCACCCGGCCAGAGGACTGACCGTCCTCGGGAGGGGCTGTGGGCTGCACCCCTGCACCCCAGCTCCTGCTCCTCCAGGCACCCCCTCAGAGAGGTGTCTAGCCATCCGTGGAAGCCTAAAATATCTTCTCTGGGCGTGAGGGGGCAGATGGCCGAGTTACAGCCAGGAGGAGCTAGGGTGGGCGTTCCGCCCCATCCCCCACTAGCTGCCCACTCCCAGGGGAGGGCCCACTGCAGAGGAAGGGGCCAAGGGAGGGTCAGGGCTGGTCCAGTGAACGGATGTGTATCAATGTGGGAAGCTGGGGCTGTGACAAGTCTACCGAGCGTAGGTTCTGGGGCTCCCGCCCGAAGCCCCATCCAGCCCTCCACCACTGGCCAGGCCTAGGGGGGATGCTGCGACAGTGCTGGCCCCACTTGCTCCAGGGAGTGACAGAGGTGGGCCGGTGAAGGGCAGCTGGAATTGGTGGCAGCCAGAGCCAGCGTGCAGCCAGGCCTTCGCTTGGTGAACGCCTCTTCCCCCAGCCCTCCGGGAGTCAGCCAGGTGGACGAAGGAGTGGGTGCAGAGAGAGAGAGATGACAAGAACCCAGACTGTCCCAAACACCACCTCACTGTCAGGTGGTCTCTGCCTGCCCTGGACAGGCTCCGCACCCGGCAATGTCACGGCTGGGGGTCGTGGCCCCTGAGTGGTGCGGAGGCCCCAGCTGAGTCTGGTGCCTCCGTGCCTGCCCAGTCAGTGTCTGTGTGGGTGTTCCCACGTGCAGGTCTGCCTGGGCAAGATCCACCCACCCCTGGATCTGGACCCTGGAATGGGGGTGCCATGGGCACAGCCCCTTTTTCTCTAACACCTCTGAAGTGTTTCCTATTATTTCCCTCTCAAGTCACTATCTTGGAATCAGGGCTGGGTGGATGGGGGGCTGGGGAAGTCCTCGGCTTGTGGGAGGCAGAGGAGAGAGTAAGGAGAAGAGAAGCACAAGACCGGGCCAGGATGGGGGTGCCCCTCCCACGCCAGGTGCATCCCCTCTTCCTGCAGCAACCCTCTGCCAAGAACAGGGGGCTGAGGCTGAGTGTGGTCTGGCACCCCCAGGAAACAGCAGGCCTGGGAGTAGAGCACTGGCCACGGTCCCTGGGGTCCACAGGCGGCTTGTGAGGCTTGGGGGCCGGAGCGATACAGGGATGGTGCTTGCTCACACACCACACACAGGTGTGTCTCTGGGTTTCTGGTGGATGTGTGGGGGCACCGAAACCAGACTGACCCCAGGGCAGGAGATACTGTCTCCCCCAGGTGGGGGTTTCTGGTGGGTGTGTGTGGGGGGGGTCTCTGTCTCCCAGAGCTTCCCTCAAACTCTTTAAGGGCTGTGGGCACCTCTACTTACCTGAGCCTCACCTGCAGCTCCTGCTGGCCCTACCCCGGGCAGCCAGCCGGGATTGCCGGCCGGTCGCCAGCTGCCTCCACTGCCTTACTCTCAGCTCTGTTCTTGCCAGAGCTGAGCAGAGACAACAACTTTCTTAGCTGAGCCTCAGTTGTTCTGTCTCTGAAATGGGGACACCCCTACTGCCCCAGAAACAAAACAAAACAAAACAAATGCGTGTGGGCCTTCCTGGCTTGTGGGGGAGGTTGAGGGAGACTGGCTAGCGAGGCATTGGGCTAAGAGTCTCCGGCAGGAGTTCCGAGGCTGCGGAGAGGCGGGATGCGAACAGCCCTCCTCCAGCGCCAGGGCCCTGTGGCCCGGAGCTCTCCACACCGGGGGGCCAGGAAGGGAGCATCCAAGGCTTAGCCGCCACACGTTGTCTGCGCGCTCTGGCCGGCCTGGCCCCGAATCCCAGCCGCCAGAGCTCGGACCCCGGCCGCGGCGGCCCTCCCTGCCCAGGGCCGGGCCAGCCGGCCTGGGGCGACCTACCTCACCAGGATGGCCACCCCTACGTCCTCGCAGTTGGCATACAGCCGGGCCCACGTCGCCTGCACCGCCTTCCTCTCCGCCTCCGACAGCTCCTCGCCGCGCTCCCTGCGCTCCGTCTCCATCTCGCCCGGCACTTTCTCCATGAGCAGCTCCAAGCCCAGCCCCGCTTCGCTCGGCGGCGGCGGCGGCGGGACGCGGGGAGCCGGGGCCGGCTGCGTGCGCGGCGGGCGGGCGAGGGGCAGAGCGCCGGAGGGAGGGAGCGCGTGTGTCTGTGCGCGCCGGGTGTGCGCGCAAGTGTGTGTGTGTGTGTGAGTGCGGGGGGCGGGGGCCCGCGAGCGGGGGGCGGGGATGTGGTCTGCTGGGAAAAAAAATGTTTTCTAAAAAAATAAATTAATAAATCCTCTCCAAACCCCGACCCTGCGTCGGCCAGCCAGTTCCGGCAAGGTGAAGGCTGGGCGGGGTGGGAGCGAGGCGGCGGGCGCTCTGCCGCCCACCCACTCGCAAGGCCACGGCGGGGTCGGCGACCTGCGGGGGTCGCTGGGGTAGGGGTGCGTGGCGCGCTGGTCGGAGCAGGGGGTGGTCTCCGTAGGAGTGACCGTCACGCAGCGCCGCGGGCAGCCGAGGAGTGCGCGCTGCGGGTGCAGGTCTCGGTTCCCGTGTCCCGGCTCCCGCCGCAGGCGCTGTCGGGCTTGTGAGCTGTGGGCACCCTTCGCGTGGCGGGGAACTGACTTAAAGTCACTCCTGCCGTCCGCCCGAGAACGCAGCGCCAGCCCCTCCGGCGCGACCCCGAAGCGGGGCAGCAGCAGCTGTGGGGCGGGGGGAGCAGGGAGGTGCGGCCGCCACTTGAGGGGCTCCGGACCTCAGAGCTGGGGTCATGCAGCTGAGCGCCTGCCGTGGGGCTGTCCTCGGAACTTCAGCTGACCCCCGCGGGCGCCAAGGCCTGTGCCCCGTTTTCCTTCTGACTGAGAGCCAGGCAACACCCTGACTTCTGGGCCCCGGAAAGGGTGTTGGAGAAGAAGCAGCCACGGTGGGCTCAGGGTCGAGTGGGTTAAGAAGTCTGGGGACAGGTCCCAGGCCGTTCCCTCAAGTCCTGGTTCTAGAGCTGTGGAAGGCCCCGGTCCTGGGGATGGCCAAGGCCCCGTCAGAGCCCTGCACAGGTGCTGTGTGCCTGTTCTCCCTCAGCCTTCCAAGGCCCTGGTCTTGCTCCAGACGTGGCGGCCCGGGAGCCGTGCCCGGGGTTGGCTTCTCCTCGCTCCAACTTGGGTGCCTGTGTTTATTTTTAAAATCTGGTTTCAAGGTCAAACGCTATGGAAAGCCTGGGCCCTTCCAGGAGCTCCCCGGAAGAGGGGGGGTGGTGGTTCAAGTGCCCCATAGGACTCCTGAGCAGCAGGCTGAAGGAGATATTCCAGAACGGCTTTGGGGTTCCTGGTCAAGCAAGCAGGAGGGGCAGGCCCAGGGCTTCATGTCCTGCTCCAACCTGCATCCCCCTGCCCGGGCCCTGCCCTGCACATGCTCACCTGCCCTGTGCTGTCCCCGCCCATGCCTGGGCTGCCCAACCGTGCCCCTGGGGTGCAGCAGAACCCATATCTGTGTGCAGTGTGGGCCCTGTACGTGATATGGGACGCAGTCAGGAGCTAGATGCAGCCCCTGCTCGGCTCAGGCCTGGCTTTCCGACTCCCTTCTTCCTCTGCTGATGGGGCATCCTGGCTGTGCTGTGGCTCACCTTCCAGCTCCTGGCAGCTCTCGCAGCCCCAGCAGAGTTTCCTGAGAGCCTGTCCTTTCTTGGGCACCTGTATCCCAGGCTCTTCTTGGAAGCTGCTCCCTCCGAGACTGGTAACTGCTCACATGTTTTATAGTTCCTAGTCGGTGAACTGCAGGCATTCATTAGCTTATTTGTCTAGAGTATCGGCCTCTTGATGAGAGGCCCAAGTGTGTGTGTTTAAGGATTTGTTTATTTCACAGGCACTGACACGTGAAATGAGAGAGAAAGAGACATCTGCTGATTTATTCCCCAAATGGTCACACTGGCCAGGGCTGGGCCAAGATGAAGCCGGAAGCCTAGCCACTTGGGTCGGCCTCTGCTGCTTTCCCCAGCGCATTAGCAGGGAGCTGGATGGGAAGCAGAGCAGCTGGAATGCAAATTGATGTTCACATATGCGATGCCAGTGGTTTAACTTGCTGTGCCTCAAGGCACATCTGTGTCCATTTGTCCTGCTGCTGGAGGGGAGCTGGGCCCTTGAGCTTAATCAGCCCTCACAAGGACAGGGCTGTGACCCCACTAATCAGCTTGTGCCTCCTAATCCATCTCCAGCAGCAGCGTGTGGGAGCTGGCCGGGGCCATCTTGCTGGCCGGCCTGCGCCTTCCCCTGTGGACGCGGCCTGGGAGGGGATGGGGCAGCAGAGCCATGTGCACCACACTCTTTATACTCAGCACCCTGGCTATGCTCTGTCGCCGCTGGCTCGCCAACCGGGTCCAACCGTGAGAAACTGGCCAGGCTATGGGTGGCTGGGGATGGAGGTCCAGGAGGGGGCCGGCTGAGCTGGGCTTGCAAGCCTTGCAGAGGGGGAGGGAAGCAAGTGGTCCAGGAAGGCTGAAAGGTACTGGGGTTGCAGCCTCCTGCCCAGAGTCCAGTGTGGCGCGACCGTGGGGAGGAGTAGGGCAGGGGGCTGGGCACTGCCCACAGTTCTCCTGACCACCCTTTGCTCTCACAGAGAGCCCAGTGCAGTGGATGGAGCCGTAACCAAGAGCTCAGACGCAGATCTCCAGTGTACCAGCAGGTGAGGTGGGACCGTGGTTGTGGCTGTGTGTGCGCCCTTGTGCGTGCGTGCGTGCGTGCTGGCCCTGGACCGGGTCATTCCGTCCCCTGTGTGCCTGGTGAGCAGGCCAGAGGTCTGCTTCCTGCACCTGGACCTGGCAGCCCCCACCCCTCTGCGGTGGCCCTGCCAGCCGGTCCCCAGGGCCGGCAACGGAGGAGGCTGCAGAGAGCTGAGCTCGGCGCCGCCCTCCCCCGCCCGGCCCTGCCCTCCCCTGCCCTCCCCCTCCGCCGCCGGCCCCACGGCGGGATTGGCCGGCTGCTGTCCACTAGCAGGCGCCGGAGCAACATGACATCATCGGCGCTGGGTGCCATTGGCTGCGGCGCAGGACGCTGTCTCCAGCGGCCAGGAAGTTAACTCTTGCCTGGGCTGAAGCCCTCAGGTCCCTCAAGGAGGACAAACTTACAGGAACCCGCAGCTGTGCCCTTCCCAGCGTCCTGGGATGACCAAGGCGCCTAGTCCGGCAAGACCCGCCCAGCGGGAGGGACTGTCACTCCCTAGTGACTGAAAAGCAAAGAAGTTTCTATGGAAGAGCCTTTGGAGGCTCCAGGGCCACTGGCCTTGGTGTCTTCACATGGGACGCCAACAGCAGCCCTGCCTGTCTGTTGTCCTCCTCCATGTCCCCTTCTGACCAGGGCACCTGCCCTCCCTCTCAGTGCCCTGACTCCCACCCCCAAGTCTTTCTGGCTCCTGCCCCTGTTCCTGTAGCCGAGTGGGGGCCGACTGGGGGAGCATGTTTCTGGGCAGGCTGGCTGGGGTCACCCTTGTGAGTCACAGAGGCAGACTGACCCTGGTGGGCTGAGGCCTGTCAGTGCTGAGAGCCTGGGTCAGGAGTTGGGCGGCCAGGTCAGTCCTTGGGGTCATCTCCGGGGCAGCAGTGGCCTCTGTGGGGTGGGATGCTGCCTGGTCAGTGCTCCCTGGCTTCTGCCAACATTTAACGCCCTGGGAGGTCCCACCAGGAGCCGTGGTGTCTGATCCTTTCCTTCCTACCGATGGGTGAGGAAGCCAGGGGTCTGACATCCTTGGCTGACTTGCTCTGCCTTGTCCGTCCCCTCTGTGGCTTATCGGAGACCTTGTGGGGAAGTCCACAGGTCCAGGCCCCCTGGCAGGAGAGGAGAGAACAGAGCAGGGGCCCATCTGTCCAGGTCTGTGCTGCTGTCACTTAACCAGAAGGAGGCAGTTACCTTGGGACGCAGTTAACTGGAGAAATTGGTGTGACATGGAGGAATCAGCTGCTGCCGACAGCTGGCTGGTGGTGTCCCTGGGCTGGCTGACCGTCTGCTCCCAGGCCCACAGGCATACCTGTTCCTCTGCGGTGTTGCCAGGAACTGCCAGGGTAAGGGTGGGAGAGGAAAGCCAGAAACACGAGGCGGTTGGCCACTTTGGTCCTCTGACCATCCTCTTCCATGCAGGGAGGAAGACCCTCGGAAGTAAGCCCTTCTCTCTTCAAACGAGCTTGGCCCCCCAGACCTGGCTCAGCTGGCCTGTGCAGGTAGGGCTAGGAGCAGGGGTGGGGAGGAGGGAGCTTGCAAGGCCTGGCTTCCCGGAACATGGCGGGTGGTTCTCCGCTTTCCTGGTACTTGATGGAGAGCAGCAGGGTGGGGTCCTTGGCCTGTTCTGTTCCAGGCCACAGGGCGAGGGTTGACTTGGACATTGACAGGTGGGGTCCAGCCACCCCTTTCCAGGCCAGGAGAGGAGGTGGGTGGCAAGGGTTTGTGGTTATGGAATGCAAGTCCCTCTTCTGGCTTCTGTTTTAGCCCAAGCTCTGCTCTGTGCCACTGCCCGGGGAGGATCCTGCCTGGGAGGAAGCAGCAGCAAGCGGTGGGATGGGAAAGGAGTGGCCACCAGCCCCCACATGCAGGTAGCCTCAGCCCGGCGAGCCCCTCGGCTGCAGCCAGCAGAAAGAACAGATGTTCTTGTTCTCAGACCCCTCAGAGGGGTCGCTGAGCCCAGAGCCACGGACTTGCCTGCTGGTCAGGGTAGCTGGCTAGCGCAGCAAGGGGATCCTGTTTGTTCCTTGGGGACCCACAGAGACGGGGCTGTGAATGCTCACGGGTTACGCATGGGGAACCACACGGACTTCAGCCGTTTTCCCATTCGTTGCCAAGTGGAGGATGCCAGACCTCCGCTGAGGCCACGTCTCCAGCGGTTTGGATAAAAGGCGTTTACCGGGCCAGCCACCCATCACTGTCAGCTGGACGGCAGACTACAGCCTGGCCCGTGGGTTGGTGTCCTGTGATGGCTGTGGTGCCGCTTGCTTCCCGTGGGGTTGGCCTGTCCGCGGGCCGCGCGCTCAGCTGCCTGCCCTGGCAGCCTTGCTGAACGCATCCGTAAGAAAGGCCAGCTGGCTGCGTGACAGGTCTCCTGGCATTGGGTGGGAGCCGCCGCCAGCTTGCCTTCCCAGCATGTGTGAATGAGTGTGTGTGTGTGTGTGTGTGTGTGTGTGTGTGTGTGTGTGGCTCGCGTGCCCGCGTGTGTTCCAAATGGCCAGTCGCCTGTGGGAAGTGAGAAGCCTGAGGCTTGTTTTGTCACAGCGCTGCCGGCTCCCTGGCCCCCAGCTGCTCTGCCATCTCTCTCTGCAGTCCTGCCTGGTCCAGAACAGATCCAGAAGCAGATTTCCACTACTGCTTCCAGATCCTGGCGCCACCACTGCAGGTGGCTGCTCCCCACAGCCTCTCAGCCATTCATCTTCAAAAGCCCCCTTGGGTCCCACCCCACCCTGTGCGTGCCATCTCTTCTCCACCACCCCTCCCCTGCCGCCAGCTCTACCCATCCTCCACTACACACACACAGCCGCAGGCCTGTCTGGCTGACCAGCACCCTGTCCTCGACTCTGAGGATGCAGGGGGTGAAGGAGCTGTGTAGACAGCAGTAGCCAAAGGGGAGGTAGGGAAGGGGTGAGCCGAGCCCACTGGGGGAGCTGAGGGAGGAGGAGGGGAGAGGTGGGCGGCACTGATATAGGGAACCTGGCTGGGGGTACAAGCCTCACAAAGCAGAGCAGGGAGGAGGCAGGGCGAGGATATGCCAGGGAAAGCTCTGCCAAGAGCCAGAGCCCCCCCCCCCCAACCCAACCTGGGGCCAGGAGCCCATGACCACCTGTCTGGCACCTGCCAACTAGCCTTTTCTGCTGGGAGACTTGGGCCTTCCCAAGGCCAGCGCTTGTCAGGCTGACAGTCAGAGGGCGCGGGGGAGAACCTTGTCTCTGCCCCCTGCCCTGCCGACGCTTCCCTTCTCCCCAGCCTGTCTGCCCTGTCCCTGTCACCTCATCCTCGCCTCTGCTTTCTCGGCCTGTTGCCAAGTCGCCCGCCTTCTCTCCAGCCCCCACCAGCTCCAGGAGTTGTCAGGCCAAGGTCACTAAGCTGGTGGTCCCTGGGAGCCCAGACACGCATCCATGCAGGAAGGGGCTGCTGGTGAGGTGGGGGTGGGGAGAGGCTGCTGCCTGGCACCGCAGCTGGGCCGCCATGTGGGCCGGGAGCGGGGCTCCCCCTGGAGCAGGCTGGCTTTGGTGGGAGCAGACTGTGTTTATACCTTCCCCGCACACTCGGCCCACAGGCGCCTTATTCCTGGGGCCTCTGCCGCCCCGGGGCTCCCTGCGCCGTCTGCACGTTGGCAGCCTCGTTGTTGCCTTCCTTCTGCCGGCCTCTCCAGCAGGCCCCTGCCACCCAGGGCCTCCTTGGCAGCTCCTGCTGGGCTGGTGGGAAGGTGAGGGACGTGGTGTCCCCTGCAGAGGCGAGTGCTGTCCCTTCCCTGGGGCAGGACGGTCACAGGGTCCACAGGGATTGGCATGCTGGGTGTCCACAGCCGGGACGTTGAGAGCCCAGCCTCACGGCCCCAGGCGCTGCCTCCTGACAGCGGGTTGTGTCCTCGTTCTGTGCCTCGGTTTCCTCCTCTGTAAAATGGGCGAGATAGCAGGGCTTGTCTCTGAGTGGTGCCACTAGGGTGACGGGCACAGCGCTTGGGGGAGCGAACTGGATGGCCAGGGAACCATGGGTGAGGTCAGTGGTCCTGCCCCCATCTTTCTGTGTGGGCACCCCAGCCAGGGTCCCTGAGGCTTCTCTGAGCTTCACCTCCCTGCAGACAGCCCCAGGGGGTGCTTCTCGCCAGGACGCCTGCTCCCCACCCGGCAACGGCTCCATCTCCTCCCCCCGCCCCTCTCCCCCACTGTCACCCACCCATCCATCCTCCTTCTCATCAGGGGATCTGAGCAGCTCGGGACAGCAGGCCGGAGCTTGAGTGACAGGACAGAGGCTGCTGGGAGCTGAGGGTGGCCAAGGGTGGCAGCCAGGGGCAGGGAGGTGGTGCTGTCTGCCACTTGTGTAGCTGCCACTCGAGCTGGCTGCCAGGCCCTCTGGAGGCTGGGACATGACCAGCGCACTAATGAGGCGGTGGGGGTGGGGGGACAAACAAGGAGCCAGAGCAGCCGCTGCTGCCATCCTGCGTCACCCAAGGGCGCCGTGGGACATGACCTTGAGCTGGCACCCACCCATCTGCAGAATGCGTGCAGGGTATACGGCATGGGCCTTGGGCCAGGACTAGCTGAGCGAGGCCGGGTGCCCAAGCTGAAGCAGGCACCACGGTTGGAGGCAGTGAATGCCATGGGTCCTCGCCAGCGGTGTCAGGAAAAGCCTAAGACCTCGAGCTCCTCCATGAGCTTCCAAAGGAGCAAAAGGGCCAAGTGGCTCATGCTAATTTCCTGATAATGATCCTAATAGCACCATTCATAATGGGCTAACATGTATCAAGCTCTGATTATATGCCAGGCACTGTGCCAAGAGCCTTATTTATAAGTGCTGCCGCCTCACTTGGGAGGCAGGGACTGGTGTATCCTTCTAGATGGAGTGTGCAAAGGGAAGTTCATGCAATTTGGTCAAGGTCACTGTCAGGTGGCAGAGAAGCCAGGACCTGCCCAGGGCAGAGGGGGCTGGGGGCTGAGTGGCGCGGTGGTGCTTTGAGGAAATCCTGGGTGAGACTCAGCCAGGCAGGCAGGAGGGAGGTCTTGCAGGTGGGTGGGCCTGGGCTGGGACCACCACCCACAGGCTCTCCCTGCCAGCTGAGTGAGGGGCAGACAGCTGGGAGAAAGTGGTGCCCCCCTGCCCACCTGGAACAACAGGTGGTGAGGCCATCCCAGGGCACTCAGTCACTGCCGCTGTCGCCTCCTTCACGCAGCAGCCAGGGCCTGTGGCGAAGGAAGGCAGGTGACCAGCAGCCCAGCTGGAGAAGGGGGGAGCTGAGAGGAAGGGCGGGGCGGGGGGGCCGTGGAGCAGGTGGCTCCTGGCTGGCTCCACTGACAAGCTGGAAGTAAGCCTTGGACTCTAGGACTCTGGGACCTCGGACCCCCTCTGTGGGGTGCGGGCGCCTCCTAGTGGGCACTGGCTGGGTCCGGCTAGAGGGTGGCCAAGAACATTTTCAAGACTTCCTGAAGGACTTAAACAGGGCCATACACACCACTTAGTGCCCTGTGTGGAGGCAGCAGCCGCTGGAATTAAGCCACTTTGGACATTTATCTGCGTATCCAGGAAGCATGTGGTCCGAGCACAGTGCTAGCTGGCGTGACACAGCCCTAGCCCTGGAAGGCTCAGGCCCTGCCTGCTTAGGTGGCGGCTGTTTCTTGAGCTCCCCCTTCAGCAAATGTATAATGAGCTGAAGTGGCCGCTGCTGCAAGGCTGACGGGCCGGTGCCAAGTGCAGCAGATGAAGCTACCACTCACAACAACAGTGTCCCATATGGGTACCAGTTCAAGTCCCGGCTGCTCCACTTCCCACCTGGCTCCCTGCTAACGAACCTGGGAAAGCAGCAGAGGAGGTCCCAATTGCTTGGGTCCCTGCACCCACGTGGAAGACCCGGAAGAAGCTCTTGGCTTCAGCCTTGCCCAGCCCTGGCCAGCTGGAAAGTGAATTATCAGATGGAAGATTTCTGCCTGTCTCTCTCTTACTCTCTTTAAAAATAAACAAACATTTTAAAATGACAGTGAAGGACATGGACCTGGTGTTCTTGGGGACCCAACGACCATCTCAGTCAAGTGAGGCTGTGACGGCTTCTTGGGGGCTGAGGAAGACTCTGGCAGGGGGTGGATCTGGGGCTCTGGGGGTGCGGGAACAGATGGCGGCCTCCTGCTGCCAGCAGATGAAATGGCAGAAGCAGACCTGCGGGGATGGGCAGCTGGCAGTGGCAGGCCTGTGACCCTGTGACCGGCTGGGCCTCTACCTGCAGGCAGACGTGCCTGTGGCCTGGACACACAAGCCGACCACAGCGGCCTTGGTGAGGGGAGGGTGGGACTCGGGACATTGTGCCATTCTGAAGAACATGTCCGCCCATCAGAGGAATCCTAAGACAGAAACCACAGCACTGACCTGATAACCAGAGGTAGGTCCTTGTGGGAGATGGGGACTGGCCGTGGAAGCACATTTCATTCACTGGAGTTCATCGAAATCAAACTTCTGGTACCAGCATTGTGGCAGTCATTTAAGCTGCCACCTGCAATCCTGGCATCCCATGTAGGAGCAGGTTCAAGTCCTAACTGCTCCGTTGCTGATCCAGCTCCCTGGAATGACGCTCGGGAAAGCAGCACACGGATACTGCTGGAACTTGGGCCCCACCTAGGATACCTGAAAGAGGCTCCTGGCTCCTGGCTTCAGATCAGGCCAGCTGCAGCCATGGCAGACCTTTGGGGAGTGAACCAGCGCATGGAAAATCTCTCGTGAAAACAGGGTAATGTGATAGAGACACTGAGAATGCCCGTACAGCTAGTGAACACTGACCGGTGCCCCTCGCCACAGGTCCCGAGGGAAATGTCCCTTTAGAGTGAAGGGCTGAGTAGGGGAAGTTGGGGGAGTAACTCCCATGACACCTGCTGGCAGTGAGCCCAGGGTCGTGGACACGTGGTTCTGCAGTCATCCAAGACAACTACCTACCCTGGCCTGGCTTGATCCCTCCGCACTCCAAACCAGAAGCCCTGCACAGGGGAGTGGGAGCAAAGGACGTGTTCGGCCCGGGACGTCACGTTCAGTGGTTACAGAGGAAGTGCGGGACGAAGGAGGCGGCATCCAGCTGCTTTTGCTGAGGAAGGACACCAGAGAACCTACTGTGGGACTGTGTGTGTTTGAAACCCGAGAACAGACAAAACTGTGTTACTGATGAGAGCAGCCGGCATAGGGCGCAGATTTGGGATCTGGGACATGCATGTGGGTCCTGGGGTGTAACTGTGGGCCCTGCCTGCAGGAAGGCAGCTGGCGCTTGGGGGGAGGGAGGGGCGGGGAGTGGGAAACAGCCCGTCCAGGTCCTGTCTGGGGGAATGGGCTGTGGCCGTGTCAGGTACACGCAAACTGGGAAATCAGTGCATTGATTATTTGTATCCCTTGCTCCCAAACAAAGAGGCCTGCCACCCTTCCGAAAAAAACCCACGGGAATGCAGACCTGATCATTGCCCGGCTTGTGGTCGGGCACTGGATGGCAGTTGGGGGAGCAGTTGTTAAGTGTGGGGAAAGCCGGTTCTGAATCAGGAGAGCCCCCTGCTGATGGTTGGCTGTGCCTGCCGCTGTGCGAAGCCCTGCTGAGGGACAGTCTGAACCGGCCCCGTGAGCTGCGTATGACCCTCCTCGTCCTCACTGGGAGCTTGCGTCAGGGGTACAGTCGTTTGCTGAATCAGGACCCTAACCCTAACCCAAACCCAACTCTAACCCCAACTTGGTGGCAGCAGCGCAGCCTCCTCCCCATAGGGGGCGCTGTTCAGGTGTGAGCTGGGGCCCGCCAAGCAAACGGGAAGAAGGTGAAGATGAAGATTGAGGCATTGGGGCAGCATATGCCGCCGAGCTGGGGAGGACGTGGGCTTCCTGGGCATTGGGACCCATCCTGGGAGAAGCAGAGGACGTCCTGAGCACCTAACCTCTCTCCAAGTTCATTCCTGCTTTATTGTGTTAAAGGATAATGATGGTTAGCTGATGATTGACACTAAGTAGCTTGTTGGTATTTTTATTGGTTTATTTGAAAGTCAGAATTAGGGCCTAGTGCAGTAGCCTCGTGGCTAAGTTCTTGCCTTGCATGTGCTGGGATCCCACAGAGGTGCCTGTTTATATCCTGGCTGCTCCACTTCCCTTTCAGTTCCCTGCCTGTGGCCTGGGAAAGCAGTGGAGGACGGCCCAAAGCCATGGGACCCTGGACCAGTGTGGGAGACCCAGAGGAAGCTCCTGGCTTCTGCCTGGCCCAGGCCTGGCTGTTGTAGCTATTCTGGAAGTGAGCCAATGAATGAAAACCTCTCTTTTGCTTTGTAACTCTTTCCAGTACTTAAACAATCCCAGGGAGTCTGAAAGCTGCAGCCAACAGCTCATCACCTCCTGGCACTCTGTCTTCTCACTCTGCCGCTGCAGGCCTTCAGCTCCGGTGGGGAAGGAGGTCCGCAGGGCCCATGACGATCAGTGAGCTGACACATCGCCATGTCACAAAGTCCCCAAGCCCGGAGGGTAGCTGCTGTGCTTCAAAGGGGTTAAAAGTTCCTGAACTTGGTCAGAGTCACCTTGAGGCCAAGGCTGGCTAAGGAAGCAGGTGTTTCACGTCTGGGGTGTGTCCGCTGCCCACCTGCTGGAGGGAGAGACCGTCCACAGGCAGTGACCGCCAGCAGGTACATGGCTTTCCGTGCTAGGCCAGGGCCCCGGATGGGAGCAGCCAGCCGTGTGGGACGCTGCTCACCCTCCTCTAACCTCACTGACAAAACAGACGACTCCTTTCCAGGTTAAGAAAAGAACCTACAAATGCATCCCACAGACCCTTGTGCCTGTCGCCGTGGGATTCAGAGGCTGGCTGCCAGGGACCAGCACACACAGCTGCCTGGCTGACTCCAATACCTTTTGTCCTGGACAGCCCTGGGGACTCCTGCCCCACTAAGCTCGTGCTTTGCTAGCCCACAGTACTAGCCTGGGGTCACCGACTGGTGTAAGAGACCTCTCCCCGAGAGCAGAGAAGACACAGCGATATCAACCCTCCCGGCAGCTCCCGCCTTCCACCGCAGCTGTAGGAGTTCTGGTGCATTCTCTCATGTTGTCCTAGTTTTTTGGAATCACCTAGGCACTTTGTCCTTCCTGGGTACTAAGGTCCTGGGGTATTCATTATATTTTACTTTCGTTGCTTTAAAAATACGTATTTATTTTTACTTGAAAGGTAGATTTGGGCCCAGCATGATTGCCTAGTGGTTAAATCCTCACTTGGCATGTGCCACAATCCCATATGTGCGCTGGTTCATGTCCCAGTGACTCCACTTTCCATGCAGCCCTCTGTGGTCTGGGAGCCTTTCTTTCTTTTTTAAGATTTATTATTTTTAGTAGAAAGGCAGATACACAGAGAGAGGGAAAGAGATATTGAGAGATACAGAAGTCTTCTATCTGCTGGCTCACTTCCCAAATGGCTCCAATGGCCAGAGCTGGGTCAGTCAAAAGTCGGTTCAAACCCAGGAGCTTCTTCTAGGTCTCCCCCATGGGTGCAGAGGCCCAAGTACTGAGCCCTCCTCCATTGCTTTCTCAGGACCCAATCAGGGGCCACTGCAGTGGCTCAACAACCCACTCCTTCACCTGCAAGTGCTGGCATCCCATATGGGCACCGGCTTATGTCCCAGCTGCTCCACTTCCCATCCAGCTTCCTATTTGTGTCCCCGGTAAATGAGAAGGAGATGGCCCAGAGCCTTGGGATCCTGCCGCCCACAGGGGAGACGCAGAGGAAGCTCCTGGCTCCTCGCTTCACACTGGATCGCTTAGGTCTGGCTGTTGTGCCCATGTGGGGTATGAACCAGTGGATGGAAGATATTTCTGTCTTTCCCTGTCTCCCTCTGTAACTGACTTTCCAAGTAAAATAAATAATCCTTGAAAAATGTACTACCTGATTGATGTGAAAGGCAGAGCAAGAGAGAGACAGACAGAGCTCCTCTGTCCTTCGGCCATTCTCCCCCAAGAGGTTGCAACACCAGTCTAGGCCAGGGTGAGCTAGGAGCCAGGCGCTCCGTCCTGCTTTCCCATGTGGGTGGCAGGCACCTGACCTCGGCTGCCTTCCCAGGCACATTAGTGGGGAGCTGGGAAGGAAGTGGAGCAGCCAGGGCCTGAGCAAGGATCCCCACACGGTGTTCCCGCCACGCCACCGCACCCGCTTCCTTTCGCAGGGTTTTGCTCCAGCCTCTGGGCAATTGCCCGGCTGCCCTGGGTACTGTCAGAGACGGGGAGCCTGCTCCCGCTCCACAAACACACTGGAGGTCCCCAGGGTGCCCAGGCAGGAGCAACAGCGGACTTGGAGACAGCTGGTCTGGAGCTGCCAAGTGGATCCGAGCAGAACAGCAGGTGCCTGGGCTGCGCGGTCTGCCCTTTCTGGTCCTTGCCCCCAACCAACCCTGCAAACGTCCTTCTCTGTCCCCTGCTGCCCACCTTCTCCCCACCCCCACCACGTACAAGTCCACAAGAGCCCTTGCGTGCAAGATCGACCTGACTCTGCCAGCTGCTGCTTGCTGTGTGGTCTTGGTGAAGTAGGCCAGGCGAATTTGTAACTAGTTTCAGAGCCCGGAAGTTGGCCCCTGGTGGCGGCCACCACGGCTTGAACTACATTTCCCATCAGCATTTTCTCCACATCGCGATAGCTGCGGCGAGACTGCGGCGAAAGACTCCCGCGCAGGCGCGGTCCCTCGTTCTTTTCAAAGTCGGCCGCGTGGCTGGCGTCATGGCCGCTTCCTCGGGTGTGCAAGCCGGGTCCCCGGTTCAGGCCTTTGCAGATGGCAAGGCTGCAGGGGCGGGCGGACAGGTCTCTGCCACAGTGCTGCAACACCTCGGAGGCGGAGGTGCCGGCGATAGGCGCGCGCCCTCGTCGGGGGTGGTAGGGTGGACGTGTGGGGTTCCTAGGGAACTGGTCCAGGAGACGCCGTGGGGTCCACGGGGGTCTTTGCAGGTGCCAGGTGCGGCTTGGGGGAGCGTGTGTGTGTGTTGTATTAGGGGGTCCCGCGGGGACGTGGGACTGCGGGAGGGCTCCCCCGTTGGAGGGTCACGCGTGGGGCGCGGGCTGGCCCTCCGGGTGTTAACTCACGTTTTCTCTCCATCTCCAAGGCGTTTCTGTGGCGGCCGCGGCGCAGGTGCCAAGGCGAGCTTCGGGGAGTGGATGGACGCCTGGCCTGAGTAAGGACGGAGCCAGGGTGCAGCATGGCGTGGGGGCGTGGGGTGCGGACCGCTCGGGGGTCAGTGTGGGAAACCCACGCACCTGCAGGTTGAGCTGAGGATGAAGTGAAGTTATCCCTGTCTGAAACGACTTATCATGAGGAGTGCTGTCTGGCTGAAGCTCAACTGTGAATCCAGCTGCGAAGTGCGTGGCGCGAGGCCGCCTGCGGTCCCAGCATGTCACGCCTGGTTCCCTTACAGCATAGGGGAGCTGGCCGGAAGGCGGGTGAAACCCTCAGACGAAGAGGAGGGGGAGGAGAAGGCGGCGTCTCCACGTGACAGATTTCCTTAGCCAGGTAAGGGTCAGGCTGGGCTGGCAGCCATGGGTGCACGTGGTGTGACCCAGGCACGGGAATGGGAGCTGAGCTGACCCGCTTTTGGCTCTAGTGCTTAATTCCAGCATGGGGACGCGTGCCCAGCTTGTTATTTTTAGCTAGCCGGGGCAGACCTCTAATCCACTGTCTTGGAAAGCTGCAGGTTGCAGGCTTGTCCTGTTGGGGAGCTGCGCGCACACAGGTGGCCCGCGAAGTGGCCTCTTGGTGACAGCGGAGGGCTGAGTGGCGCGCACTTGCGGGTGGTCGTCATGGGCGCTCTATGGAGCAGCTGGGGGCGCCTGAGTCATGATGATGTCAAGTTATCCCTGGCTGAAGGCAGAGAAAGGCCTTCCTGTGTGGAACGTGTCATCTGAAACTTGGTGTCCCCGTTAGCCTCATGGAACCCTCAGGCACTTGGGACCCGCCATGCCCAGAGGTCATCTGAGTGAGTGGATTGCTGTTTCCCCTTCCTGGCCAGGTGCGGCTTGGCCTCCCGTCCTGAGGCTGAACTGGGACCTTCTGGGCACTGTCCTGAGCTCCCTGTGCAGGTCGTGCCACGGCAGGCTGACTTCACTATTTTGCTCTGCCAGGTGTCACAGCTGGACAGGATGGATGGCTCCACCTGAGGTGGGTCAGGGGTTCCCTGATATCACCTGTGTGTTCTGCGCTGACCGCTTGTGTCCTTCTGAAGCCGGGAGCTGGTGATGCCTGGTTACCCTGTCAGAGGGACCAGAACGTGCCCTGGGGCTCACGGGGCTCACTCCCGCTGGGGACCCACTCCAGGGCACTGGCCTTTGGTGTTGGGAGAGCCTGGGTGTGGTGGCTGACCCTGGGTACTCCACCCTGTAGCAGTGACTGCAGGGCAGGTAGCCAGGGCTGCTGCTTGCTGCCAGTGTGGACTGAAGGAGTGCTGGTTGGCATAGTTCTAGGGAGTGAATGCACTCCGAGATTGTCAGTTTTTGAGTGGGGACGTGTGGTGATGCTGACCACACCTCTGCTGCTGTGATGGCATTTGGGTAAGAAGGGCATCTGGGACAGCCCTCCTGGTTCATACCAGGCAGCTTGGCTCTCCTGAACTTGACCTCAGTCCTGTCTGGCTATCATGGCTGGCAGGCGGCTGCAGTTTGGACAGCAGGGGCTGGTCTCGGAACAGGAGAGCAGAGTGGGGTGAGGGCAGGATGCCAGGGTTAGGTGTGCACAGTGAGGCCTCCTGTAGAAATGAGGGGGTGTGCTCCACTCAGGAACCAGGGAAGTGGGATTCAGGGTGAGGCTGAGCAGCTTAAAGCTCCCCAGCCTGTGTTCTAAGTTCTTAAAGCTCCCCAGTGTTCTAAGTGGCGACTGCTCCCCAGCCTGCAGGCACAGCCGTTCCTCCTGGGTTAGCGTTTTCCCTGGTTGGGGTTTCGAGTTGTGGTTGCCTCTCATTCCAGCACTGATCTGTTGCTCTTACAGGGGCCTTCGGTGATGCCCGGTGGGAGCTGCAAGTCCTACCTCTGCTGGGTGAGCTCAGCGGGACGTTTCACGATTACACAGCGGGGTCAGAGTCCCGTGTCAGTCCTCTGGGTGCTGGTGGACCCACAGTGACTGCAGCTGGATTAAGAACATGCATGTACTCCCTAAGCCCCGGGAGCATCTCCGTGGGTGTATGCCTGCTGGGGCCCTGCACAAATAAAGTGTTTTTAATTAAGATTATTGTTTTTAGTAGTTGAGAAAGGTGTATGCCTATTTGGACTGCTGATGGTGGGGATGTCTGATGCGGAGTTTGGTTGAAGTCTTTCTAAGGGTACAGTCCACCTTGGCCAAAGGAGTTGTCCATCCTTTGTGGTGCTCAGCATCTGAGCTGGTTGTTCATCTCACCAGTGCGCATCTGGCATGCTGTCCCCTGCACAGGGGTCAGCAGCTGAGGAGGCCCAGTCCCAATACATGAACCCCGGGGTAAAGCTACAAATCATGATTTTCTGTGTGGTCGGAGTCTAGCCCTCAGACCTGACCCATACATGTGCCAGATACCCAGGCTGGCGTGGGCTGCTCTCAACCTTGGTTCTCACCAGTAGGGATTGCATCCTGACAAAGGAGTTTCCCAAACTCCTAGCTATGAGACCACCTCCTGCCATTCATCGGCAGGTACAGTGGCTTTGCCCAACCACCCCACATCCAGGCCAGCTTTTATGGGTGGAAAAGTACCTACAGAAGTCATGGGTAACCTTGTCCCTGGGAGGTGGTCTGATGGCTTTCATTCCATAGAGAATGAGGTCTTGGCTCCATTGCTTTGCTCCCCAGGTGGCGTAGGTGGGTGAGCAAAGTGCTGGGGCCTCTTACCCACACACTAGGAGGGAGCTGGATGGGAAGTGAAGTGGAGCAAGACTTGAGTAGGCAGATGGCTTGTCCCTCTGGGCTGCTACACACCCACACTGCCTTAGCACTTGGATCTGATGAAGGACTGGTTAAGTCCTTCCCGACCTTAGGGAGAAATGAGGCATTGTGGATCAAGGGGTGCTTGCAGTGGTGAGTTCCAGGGCAGCGCGCTCCTCTGTGATGCTAGGACTGAGAGCTGTCAGCAGTGGTGGGGGTGTACTCTGTCCCCCACTTCTATCGGGCACTAGGAGGGTCAGCCCTGCAAGGCCACCGCTTGAGGCTTGAACTTGGGCCTAGCTCCCCTGGTTAGGTCCGGTGGGACCCACCTCTGTTGTCATGCATGTGTGCCATCAAATTGGCCAAAGAGAAAGTGACCGAGGCTTAGGTGGTTCTAAAAAACCACCTTTTAATGTCACTTCAGTGATGGCATTGCCTACACTGCAGGAGTTTAGATCTACTGGGAGACAATGGGACTCACCATCTTTACAGACCCAGCCCTGGATGCCACACTCTGCATGCCCACCAGCAGACAAAATGATCATCCATGCTTTATTAAACACCTCAGATAACGCTCTGCCTCTGCTTAGCCCACTGTATCTGGTTTCGAGGAGCAGAAGTAAAGTTGTTGAAGGTTCTTAAGGTTTTCTTAAAGTTGGTGAGCTTCCTGTGGGGGCTGTGTGTGGGGAGTGTCGGCTACGATAGTGGTCCACAGGCTGTGTTGTCCCATTGACATTCCTGTAGGCACCAGTGCTAGCCGGACGATGCCCTGCTCTAAGGCTCACCTGCCCCTCGCCAGGTGTACCTCATGGGAAGGAGAGTAGAAAGATCAAACAGGGTGGTTCCCCTCTTCCTTGGCCAAGGCCGAGGTGTCTCAGATCCACAGATTTTCCTTGGATGAATTGGCAGTCGGATTGGGTATCCTGCACAGCACGGGTGAACAGTGTGCCTTCCGACAGGAGATGGTCAAGGGAGCTAAAGGTTGCACTCTGGGGTTGAAGGGCGCAGTGAAGGGCTTGTGGCCACACTGCGTGCTGTGGGATCAGCGCCGGTACAGCCACAGGATGCCTGCCTTGTGCAGGTCCCTCCACAGGGAGGCTTCCAGCAGCAGGTCATGGTTTGCGTAGAATTTCAGGGGCTTCTTCTTCCGGTCGTAATAGTGGTTAGAGTATTTCTTGTAGTTGTGTGTGATAAACCCATAGGCACTGACCTGGACACGGAGAGCCAGTCATTGGGTTAGCAGTTATTGAGCTGCAAGGAAGTGCAAGCAGACTGGGGAGGGGAGGTGAATCCTGGAAGGTAAGGTGCCCCCATCCCCACCCTGCCCTCCAGGGAGGTGGTCACCGCGTGAACCATTAACAACACAGGCTCCACACACTGCCTCATTGGCCCCTCCAACTTTAGGTCTGATTCCATGGAACAAATGGGGAGACCGGCTTACAGGGGTGATGAGGCATGTCCCTGAGCCAGGGCTAGTGGGTGGCAGAGCTGAGATGCAAGTCTAGAGCTACAGTCTCTAGATGCAAGGGTGAAGGTGTGAACCCCTAAGACAGTGAGCTGAGAGATCACGTTGAATCTGGGAGGAGGGGGTCCCATCACCCACCCCCAGCATCATGGGGTATCAGGCTAAACCTCCACCTGTGGTGTTGACATCCCATTTGGGTGCTGGTTCAAGTCCCAGCTGCTCCACTCCCCATCCAGCTCCCTGCTTATAGCCTGGGAAGGCAGTAGGGAATGGCTTAAGTCTTTGGACCCTGCACCCATGTGGGTCTCCCACATGGGAGAAGCGCCTGGCTCCTGGCTTCAGACCATCCCAACTCTGGCTGTTGCAGCCATTTGAGGAGTGAACCAGCTGATAGGAGACTTGTCTCCCTCTCTGTAGTTCTTTCAAGTAAAATAAATCTTGCAAAACTGAAAAGCAACAAACTGAGAGAAGGCAAAAGGCCAGTGTGGCGTTTGCCCTGCAGCCCTGCTCCTGGCTTCAGGGCAGGTGCACAGCCCAAACTTGAGCCCTGCTATTCAATGCCTGCCTCCACAGCTTGCACAGGCAACATCCCGTGGCAGAAGTCTCCTGTCCTTTCTGGAAGATTCTGCTTCAGGAAGAGCCTCGGTTAAGGCAGGAAGGGGCTTCCCTGGAGAAGAGGCTGAAAGGGGCAAGCGCTAGGCTGGTGGCCACGGGAGCCAAGTCCGGGTGGGCCCAGCACCAGCCTGGGGAAGGGTGGGCTTGGTTCCCTTAGTGTGTAGGCAAGAAGCCCTCTCACCTGGTCACAGGTGTGCAGTGCTGTCATCAGCATGATGGCCCCGGTCGAAGGCATGTATATGTTACTGAATTTCGTGTGGATCAAGTGTGATTTCAAAAACCTGCAAGAGACACAGCAAAGGAAAGGCATGGGAGACCCAGAGAAAAAGCTGCTGGCTGCTTACTGGTCCAGCTCTGGATGCTGGGGGCCATTTGGGGAGAGTGAGCCAGCAGGGGGAAGATCTCTCTCTTTCACATAAAGTCTATAAAAAGAAAAACATGCATGAAGAGCAGAGCTCCCTGGCTGGAGGAGGCTGTGCCCTTCCCCTTCCTGCAGGCCCCCGTCACTCAGTGACCACAGTGCCAAGGGCAGCGGTATGGGCATGTCCTGCCTGCCCCAGCAGGATGGGGGACAGCGAGTGGAGAGCCTGGGTTCTGACCCGGCCTGGGGTCACGTGGTGGCTCAGCCCTCACCCTCTGAGCTGTGACCACCCCAGCATCATGAAGTCAGGGGGAGGGGTGGCTGCGGTGTAAGCAGCCATGGGAAGCCCAGTGGCTCCACCTCCAGTTAAGCTCCGTGCTAATTCATCTGGGAAAGTGTGGTGGGAGACTGGGATGGAGTTCCAGGTTAGCGGCTTTGGCCTGGCCCAGCTTGGGCCATTTGGGGATCTTAAAGAGAGTGCAGGAGGAGGAAGGCAGGGAGGGAGATGGACTGCCTGGGCTGGCAGGTTTGGGCTTCTCAGCTGTGGAAAGCTCCGGCGTGCCCGCCCACCCAACACCTGTGGCTGCCCACACCTGGCCTTCTCCAGGTGAACAGTCCCCAGTAAGTAAATTAACAAACTACCTTGGGGGTTTCCTGTGCATTTCCTGTTGATCGTGCCCCAAGGTGTTAGGCCTAACAGGGAATGCTCTGGCCTTAGCACAGGTGGGGTAGGGCTACCCCTACCTGCTCAGGCTGGAGACCAGGACTCTGCCCCAGGCCCCTACCGGCCCTGGCTGCCTTGGGCGCTGGGGGCGGCCACCCACCAGCCCCTTACCTCTCCTTCAAGTAGCTGATGAAGGCTGGATGAAGCAGCTTGAACTTCCTGGCAGAGGTTTCGGGTCCGAAATAGACGGCAGGCCTAAGAGCCACGGTAGAAATGGACAGAGCGTCCAGGGCTGTCGTAGGACAGGTTGGGCAGCGCGGGCAGGGGGAAGGCGCTGGGGCGGCGGCGCGTCAGGGTGCGGCGTGGCCGCGGCTGCGAGTAGTAGCGAGAGAAGGGCGTGTAGAAGGTGGCGGGCAGCACCGAGGGCACCACGTGCGGCTTCCCGCGCAGCAGCACCTCCATGGGCGGGCAGTAGGACAGTGACGAGGGCGGGGTGAAGAGGGCCGGCGGCGTCTGGAAGGAGCAGGTGGACTGCGGGTCGTGCGGCGGCGGGGGCAGCAGCGGGAAGTAGAGCGAGGCCGGGGGCGGCGGCGGCTCCGGGCGCGGGCAGGGGAAGGCGCACGGGAAGCAGCGGTTCTGGGGCAGGGGCGCAGTGGGCGGCTCGAAAAAGGGCGGCTCCTTCAGGAAGCGAGGCACGTAGGGGGCGATGTAGGACGGGATGCCCCGCACCGGGCCGATGTAGGAGGCCGAGGTCGCGGGGCTCTGCGAGAGCGACCTGCCGGCGAAGGGCGCCGGGGGCGTGAGCGACGGGTTGCGGGACAGCGCCTTCAGGCCCGACTGCGAGGGCGACTTGGAGGGCGGCGGGGTGGGCAGCTGGCCGCCGCCGCTGCCGCCTCGCGGCACATGCTGGATGTGGGGGCTGGGGGTGAGGGAGGACGCCCGCGAGGAGGGCTGCGAGGTGGTGGGCGTGGGCGGGTGGGAGGGGGGCCGGGAGGAGGTGCCCCCGCGGGTGGGCGACGGGGAGGGGTTCGAGCCTCCCGAGCTCCCGTAGGGCTGCTGGGCGACGATGTTGTTGGATCGGGACTGGGAGGGGGACTGGGTGGGGGACGGACTGGGGGTGTGGGAGGGGGAGCTCATTGGTGTTGGGGAGGCGTCGTCCCACCCAAGGGCGCGGAGGGGTGCCTCCCGGAGAGCCGAGGCCCACCCCTGTCACAAAGCCCACCCTGGTGACAGCAGCGCCTGGCAGCAGCAATTGTTGGATCATCATCTGCGGGTGGGGGCGGGTGGGGGTGGGGCGCTGCGCAGGTACCCCCACCCCTCTCTACCCCACCCAGCTCTGGGGGGCGGTGGCGGCCAGAGGTGGGCCTGGCTTTGGGGGCTCTGGGGAGCGGGACACTGGAGAGGTGGCTGTGTCCTCTTAGTGGCCTGGGCAGAGGATGCTGGGATTGTCCCAAATCCACAGGGAGGAGGCCCAGATGCCAGACAGGGTTCAAAGGAGTTGGGCCCAGGCCCGGCTACTGACCACTGCCTGGGAGAGTGAGACAGAGAAGATAAAGTGTCCTTTGTTCCTGGCACATGGGTCCCAGGGCTTGGGCCGGGCCCTGGGGGGGAGGAGGAGAGGGGCGGAGGCTGGGACAAGGCAGTGGGACACTGGCCTTGCTCTGTGAGCTGGGCGCTCAGCACAGAAGGCCCAGCTCGGGCTGCCTGGCTGTGTCCTGGGGCAGCTGGCACCTGGGTTGGTCACAGATGGGAGCCAGTCCTGCTCACCCCACCAGGAGACTTCCTGGGACTAGAAGGCCAGGCAGACAGCAGAATTCCCTAACACCAAGGATACTACCTGGGGGACCGCCAGTCTCCAAGGCCTCCCACCGAGTCCTGCTCACCTGTCCGCTTTATCCCGGCCCTCAGGCACAGGCACACCCAGGATAGCCGACCTCAGCATCAAGTAGTCGCGCATGTCGGAGGGGATGAAAATATAGCGGAGGTCCTGTCGGGGTGGTGGAGACGCTGAGCTCTGGGGCAGGGGGAGGCAATAAGGCCACAGGGGCGCTCCTGCTCAGAGGGGACAGCCCTGCCCCAAAGGGTACATCCCCCATGTGCCACAGTTCCTCAGAATCCTGCCCTCTGAGAGGGGGTGCCCAGCTGCCGTGCCCTTGTCGGTGGCCTGGATGTGGCGACCCATGCATGGAATTTCTCTAATGAACAGTAAGTGCAGAGTGGAGGGGTGATTGCCTAGCACGGAAAGGAGCTGGGCCTGGGTGAGGTCAGCTGTCACACTGGTGGAAGGGACCTGCTGTTGGCCACCTCGCCTCTGAGGAAGCTTGCCCATGCAGCTCACAGTCTGGGAGACCCAAAGCCCTGAGCTGCTCCCATAATCCCTCTCGCATCGGCATTCTGAAGTTTGTGCCCTCAGCAGCTATGAGAGGCTCGACTCTGGCCCAGTGAACAGAGCTTGTGGCCAGGACCCCACTGAGTGACCAGCAGGTAGGTGCTGGCAATCCCACCCAGCCGAGGTAGATGCCCCTCTCTGGGGCACTGGAGGGGAGAGGCATGGGGGTACCAAGAGCCCCTAGAGCAGCCTCGACTCACCGTCCTCTCTGACGCTCGGTTTCCTAACAGGGCACAAAAGGTCCCCAAGGCTCTTCTGGTGGGTAGTGCAGGCAAATGCGAACACTCGCGGCTTTGGTCAAGGGCAGAGTAGGGGTGGGAGGACTAGCTGGGTGGCTGTGGCCAGCTATGTTCCTGATCTTGCTTGGGTCTCTGCTTGGCCATCTAGACACAGGCATGCTGTGGCAGCCCTGTCCGTGGCCAGGACTAAGCTGCGGCCAGCAGGGGCAATGTGTAGCCTCTCCCAGTGCCAGCTACATCATGCTGATGGCGCAGGAGAGCAGGAGCTGTGAGCGGGGCCGTCTGAGTGGGATCCTGGCCTTGATGCTGATTCGAAGGAAGAAGGGGCACCAGGCTCATGTTATGCTGCAGGAGGTTAGCACAGCATCCCACATGGGCACCAGTTCAAGTCCTGGCAGCTCTACTTCCTATCCAGCTCCCTGCTAATGTGCCTGAGAAAGCAGTAGAGGCTGACCCTGAGCACTCGGGGCTTTGCACCCATGTGGGAGGCACAGATGGAATTCCTGGCTCCGGCTTCCACCTGACCCATCCCTAGCTGTTGTCGCCATTTGGGGAATGAACTAATGGGTGCAAAATCTTTTTTTTTTTTTTTTTTTTCCTATCCTTCCCTCTCTCTAATCCTGCCTTTCAAATACATCTTAAAGAAAAATAGTGACTAGGAACTGTTCATCTCCTGTGCTACCCAAGGCTCTGAGGAGGGGGCTCCCAGGCTCCAGCTGGCACAGTTGAGACCCTAACACACCTGCTGCGTCCACTCACCCAAGACCCACCCCAGTGAAGGGACCCCAGACGCAGCCCAGCAGGGGCCCACCTGTCCTTGGGGTATTGAAGTGAAGCCCAGTTTCGAGTAGGTGATGAGCGAGTTCTTCATGGTGTTCACAGTGAAGCCATAGAAGGAGATCTTGCTACCCACGTCCTTCTTGAAGCCTTCGATCACAGCACCGTTGAGTCTGGCACAAAAGCAGTCCTGCCAGGCTGCTTGGTTCCATCTCTGGGACCTCGCTGTAGCACCTGCACCCCACCCCGTGGCCTGCCCGAGCCTCACACGTGCAGCCTTTGGGGGGCTGCTCTGTGGACGGCTCAGCCTGTGTGGGCATCTGCCTGCGTGGGCACCTGTGCCCCTTCCTCAGGGTCTACCGCTGTTGTCAAGCCTGCCCCTGCCATGCCCACGCAGACAGCCCGGCCCTGCATACCTGAACACATAGTCGTGTGCATCAATGTTCCGGCCCTGGCTGGACCCGTTCAGGATTCCCCCATTTCCTACCACGGCGCAGCGGATACAGGACCGCGGGTGCTTCTTGAAGGCGGCCAACAGCTCTGCGCTCTCAGAATTGTTCAGGAGCTGCAGGGTGGAGGTGATGGCTATGGTGGGGAGGGGCGGGGTGCTGTGAGAAGGAGTGCACCTTGCCCTCTGGGCCGTCCACCCGTATCCTCAGGGCCTCCCCAGTGCTTGTCTGGACCTCACCTGGCCCCACCCAAGTGCAGCAGTGGCTGGCCAGAGTCCTGTGTCCTGGTCACTGTAGTCCCTCTGCCCAAGGGATGGCCCCAGAATGGCCAGAACCACTGGGCACCTTCCCTGAGCCCCTGGTGATTGGCAGGAGGCTTGGCTTACACACCCACCCTGTCCTCAGGGTCAAGAACAGGAGGAAGGGACCTGCTGACCTTGGCGGGAGAGGCCCTGCCAGCCGTAAGGCGCTCTGTGCTGGCTCAGTGTGTCCCAGAGCGTGGGGCTGAGGAGGCCTCCCCATAGCAGCACGGGAACCGAGAGGTTGAACAGGTGACTGAAATGCTGATGTTGCTGGATGGCCTGGCGGAGTGAACGCTGGCAGGTATGGCTCTGTGGGTAAAAGGATCAGATGGCTGAGCCCAGCAGGTGGAGATCTGTGGAGACCATGGTGGGGCTGAAAGCTATCCTCCTCCTGTCCCCCCAAATGGTGCCACCTCTACCCCAGTGCAAATCTGCAAGTCATGTTGAAGTGGCCCAGTAGCCGGTGGGATGCCCAGAGTGCCCTCCATGTAGCCTTGTGCATTCCTTTCTGTCCCAGGTGCCATGTGCACATGGCCTGGAGGTTCTGGCTGTGCCCTCCCCAGCCTCATGCTTGGGCCAATTTGGGGGCTTTCTCCAGGGATGGAAACATGGACCATGGGGGCCCCTGTGATGGAGACATGGGGGCCTAAGCCCTCACCCCAGCTCTGCCAGCTGCCCACTGCAGGGGCTGTTGTGGGGACGTTTGGGAAGGCTGGTGCCCCATCAGGATCCTCCCACCTCTACTCTGTGCCATGTTCCTATTGCAGTCTGTGACCTTTGCAGAAACAAGATGAGGACCTAGGGGGTAAGGTTGGGTCTTAACTCCAGGTGCTGGCATCCTTGCAAGGCAGGCAGAGACCAGAATGAGGTGGCTCCAACCCCAGGAGCCTGGGGAGCTCTGAGAAGCCGGGACAAGGCCGTGGTGGGGGAGGGGACACAGGTGCCACAGTCCACCCCAGGGGCTCTCAGCTGCCCTGGTCTCTGGTCACTTGCTCTAGCTGCCACAGGGAAAGGGGTGCCTGCCCCAGGCCTCTGGCTCGTCTGCCCGTTATCCCACAATGCCAGATCTCACACAGCTCGTTTGCAGCATCACCAGGATAAAGCAGAATATGCTGTGTGGCCATGACTGCTATAAGGAGAGACGTGAGAGTCCAGAAAAGTGACAGGCAGGGCAGAAGGACGCAGTCAGAGCCGCGGGGCTTATGGGAAGCTGGGCTGACGGCAGACGCTTGGAGGTACTCTCCGGGGCTGCGGGTGTTTGGCCTGGTGGCGAAGACACCTGCAGCTTACATCTAGCACCTGGCGCTCATGTGTGCAGGAGGTGCGTCTGGCGAGCATGCAGCTTGCTCAGTGCTACGCTCGTCTGCTGCCCACAAGCCAGGGTGACACAGTGTGACGTCACATTTCACCATAAGTTCACATCGGCAAAGTTGGCATGACGGCAGAACCGGCTGAGTTTAACACAGGGAGGTTCATCAGTCGTTGCCCTCTCCTTAATGGCATGCTATTCCTGCCTGTTTCGTTCTGTTGTTGGTTTTGCCTGGTGGTTTGTGGTGTGTCCAAAGCCACTGTTTTTACAAGATGGAGGCTGAAGGGACCACAGGAGCCCTAGGGACGACTGAGGTCCAGGCACTCAAGAGATGCTGCAGATGGCCCCGTCACCTGTCCCAGGCCACCTGTCATCATCACAGCTAGACTCTCATACACAGTGTGTGCTGAAGCCTCCGTGGACGTGTGTACCTGGGAAGCTTTTGTTTGGTGTCAGATTAATTTGAAAGGCAGAGCTGACAGAGAAGTAAGGGCAGAGAGAGGAAATGAGAGATCCTCCACCTGCTGGTTCATTTCTCAAATGCCTGCAAAGCTGGGAACGCTGCTGGGTCTCCCACCCGAGGCGTGGGAACCCAAGTGCTTACACCTGCTGCTGCCCTCCCAGGGCACAGAAAGCTGGACCCGGAGCACTGCAGCCGGGACTCTGACGTCCCACACGGCGGCAGCTTACCTCACCGTGCGCAATGCCTGCCCCTTAAGCTCTTCCTAATCCAGCACACCCAGCTGGGCATGGGGAGGGTGTCGCACACAGGGACTCAGAGCCAAGCTCAAGGTCAGCTCAGAGGCTGCTCTCCCAGTACGCCCTCTCAAACCTGAGCTACCCTGAAAGTGGTGCCTGCCTTCTTGGTACCTCCATTGGCTGCTCTCTAAGAACTATACTGCCTGGTGTGGCTGCCGTGAGCTTCCGGGATGGGATGCAGGCCAGGAGTTCGGGGTTTGGGGTTGGGGCTGGTGTCATGGCATAGCACATTAAACCTCTGCTTGTGGGCCCGGTGCAATAGCATAGTGGCTAAAGTCCTTGCCTTGAATGCGCCAGAATCCCATATGGTCGTCAGTTCTAATCCTGGCAGCCCTGCTTCCCATCCAGCTCCCTGCTTGTAACCTGGGGAAGTAGTTGAGGACGACCCAAAGCCTTTGGGACCCTGCACCCAAGTAGGAGACCTGGAAGAAGCTCCTGGCTCCTGGTTTTGGATTGGATCAGCCCCAGCTGTTATGGCCTCTCGGGGAGTGAATCAGTAGATGGAAGATCTTCTTCTCTGTCTTTCCTCCTCTCTGTATATTTGACTTTTCAATGAAAATACATCTTATAAACCAACACTTCTGCTTGTGACACTGCCTGCATTCCAAACCACAGGTTAGCTTAGGTGCCACCTGCTGTGCTTCTGAGCCAACTCCCCGGATGTGCCTGGGAGGGCAGCAGAGGACGGTGCAAGGGCTCTGTCACCCACACGGAGACTTGGACGGAGCTTTGGGGTCCTGGCTTCAGCCTGGGCCAGCCCTGGCTGTCACAGCCACTTGGGGAGTGAGCCAGTGAAGATCTCATTCATGTCATTCACCCTTTCAAAAATATGAAAGGTAAATCTTGGGGGGGAAATCCTACAGATAGATAAAAGATAAAATTACAAAAAAGATCCCTGGGAGTGCCTTGGGGTCCCTCCCGCCTCCTGGGACCCCTGACTGTTGCGCAGGGATTTGTTCTGCTGCAGGGCCCGGAATGTTCTCTGGCACCTATCCGGCTCCTCCCGGAGTGGCCGAGAGCAGTGTGAATGTGGCTTTTAGAGGAAGCAGGTCTGAGACCGTAAGATTCCCCTAGGGCACGTCATGTACTGTTCACCCTACAGGGTTTCCACAGTGCCTGGTGTTGGTGGTCTGCCCAGCCCTACACCCCCCCACCGCCCTCATCCCTCCGCCCTCATCCCCTCGCCCTCATCCCCTCCTCACTAGCACAAGCGAGTTCTGAAGTGCCACACAGCGGCCAGCAAGCATACCTTTCTGGTTCCAAAAAAAAGTGCCCTGAGTCCAAAGAGTCCTCGGGATGAAGTGGTGTTCCTGGGAAAGAAGGCAGGAGTGAAGTGGGGCTCTCACAGCTGCCCCGCCCCCTCAGCAGGTCCTGCCACGTTCCAGACACACAAAGCAGTCACCCCAACTACATTCAGGCCTGCTCTGCGAATACGGAAATCAAGATAGCCCTCCGCCAAGGGCACAATGAGGCTCTGTGCTGTCCCGTACAGGAAGCACCCCCACCCCACAATGCTAGCTGCTGCTGTCATGGACACGGGTGAAGGGGTGATGTCATTGCCCACTCCCAGTTCCCAGGAACGACCTGGCCCTGGCCCCAGGGGTGGCCAAGCTGCTGCCAGGGAGCTGCCCTCACCCGGAGCAGGTAGGGCTTGGGACTGGCAGGTACAAGGGCAGGACTTGGTTGGGGTGGGGCGCGGGGTGTCCAGGTTTGTCCTCCTCCTGGTTGCCTATAACACCCTGGGAGGAGTGGGCAGTGGAAACAGTAGGGGGTCTGTTTTGGCCTTCTCCCCCTTCAGATGGGCCACCTATGCACCCACATAATCTGGTGCATTAAAAAAAATGGAAGCGTTCAGCTTTGGCTGCTGGAGACCCGGGCTGCCCACCCCTATGCCAGGGGCTGGGCTCCTTCCCCCCAGTTTGCCTAGTAGTGGCAGGGCTTGAGGCCTGGGAACCTATAGGTGCCTGCGACTTCCCCCAGTTCGCCCTCTCAGCTCCCTGCCCTGCCTGGCCATGCCCGGAACCCACCCACGCCCCTGTGGGAAGCCGGCTCCACCTGGGAGAAACCAAAGCACTGCTTTTTTCATACAACCACACTCACTCAGCTTGAAGTCTTACTAACACTTAGTCCCCTACCAGGAGCCTCCTGCGTTCCTTTCTAGAACATTCCAGAACTTGCTTTTACAGGTGCAGTAGTCTGGGAACCACTCAGTGAGAGGCTCCTCCCTGACCCGCAGGAAGAGCCTTCCCCTCTTGCAGGACCCATCCCTGGTGCTGGGCTGGCCTCTGCGGTCCAGTTTAGGGGTGTCCCACGGACTTCACTCCCCCTAGGCGCCCCGCCTCTCTCCAGAACCACACACATGCACCTCCTGCCGCCTTCCCGGGTGCCAGGCTGCAGCACAAATATCCTCGCGGCTTTTGAGTTTTCTTTATAAAAGGTGAAAAATCCATATTAAAACAACAACAACAACAACAAAAACCCAACCCAAACCAAAACTATTGGGGCCAGTGTAGTGCTAAGGTTCCCACCTGCAGCACTGACATTCTATCCTGGCAGCCCCGTTTCCCATCCAGCTCCCTGCTTGTGGCCTGGGAAAGCAGTGGAGGACGGCCCATAGCCTTGGGACCCTGTACCCATGTGGGAAACCTGGAAGAGCCTGGCTTTGGCTACTGCTAACTTTAGGGGAATGGAAGAGTTCTGTTTCTCCCTCAATCTCTAGAACTGTAACTCTGCCTTTCAAATTAGTATTTTTTCCCCCCCAAGGACACTCCTTTCTAAATGCCTTCCACCCCTACGGGGCTCCTTTCTTGTGCAATTTTTGGCCACTAAGAGATTTGGCAACCTGGGGAAGATGGGGAAGTTAGAAGGGAAGAAATGGGCCCTCTGGCCTCCATGAGCTGTACCTCACAGAGCAAACTCCTCGCTCGAGATCCGGGCCATCCAGTGCCAAAGGCAGGCTCGCAGGTGTGTCTCCTGGCGGCCCACAAAGGAAAGGAAGGCTCCCGGGAGAGGCCGGGTACAGGAGGCCCGGGGCGGCAGGGGAACTTGGGATCCAGACCCGACCTCTGTAGCTGGGTCCGGCAGGCAGTTGGCGCCCAGCTCGAAAACTGGGGGTGGGGCGGGAGATGCTGGCTCTCGGCCCCGCCAAGGGTCCCACAGCAAGGCTGGAAACCGAGGGACTTGGGTCCCTACCCAAAACAGAGCGTCTGAAAAAGTGCGACGCAGGAAACAAACAAAACCTGTTCAGATCAGACGCAGAAGGCACGGCCACGGAAGTAAACGGGGTGGGGAGGATAGCTCGGGCACAGCGTGGGGTCCTTTTTGACCCCCGGCCGCCCTCCGCGAGCCACCCCACGGGGTTCGCGCGCGTGCACGCCGGCGCCGTCCGGGTGGGCGCACGGCCGCCCCTACCTGGCTGGGGTCCCGGGTCCCGAGGGCCACGTGGGCGCTGAGGAGTACAAGATGAGGAGGATCCCCGAGCAGATGGTCGAGAGCAGCAGCAGCCGCCGCCAGAGGCGATAGTGGCGCGGGGGTCTCATGGCGCCCTGGCTCAAGCGCGCCCGTCCGATGTCCGGCTTGGAAGGAGAGCAGAGGCGCCGGGTGGGCCTTGAGCTCCACCCCCGGAGCCGTCCGGTGCCCTGGGTACTTCGAAGGCGGCGTCCTCCGCCGCCACGATCCTGCCCATGCACGGGACAGCGCCGCCGCCAGCCCAGACGGTTCCGGGGAGACACCACCTGCCGCGCTGGCTGTGTGTTGCGCGCTGCGGAGCGGCTCCAGGGTTCTCCACCACGCCAGAGGCAGGTGGCCGGCGGCCGCTGCCCTGCTGTCCCGGGAAGGGCTTTCAGATACCCCATCGCCAGCGTCGGGGAGCCGGGCCGCGGGGGTGGTGTGCCGGGGGAGGGCAGAGGCTGTCATCCTCTTATTTGGTGACTATGGGGGAGGACGGGCCTCACATTGCCTCTGTTACAGAGGCCGGCCTAAGGCCCGCCAGGGCTGCAGAGAGCACCCCAGGGGGCCGGTGGTAAGGGCAGGGCCTCCCGGATTGAGCGCATTGGGCGATTGCTCTGCAGTGGGCAGTGGCCAGGGTGGTAGAGAACCCATGAACTTGTGAAATACCCCAGACCCTCAGCTGGCGGGGTCCCTGGCCCCTCTCAGGCTGGGAGCAGCAGTAGGTATGTGCCCAATCACAGGGTCCTGGAGGCTCAGTTCTCCTTCCTTCTATGGTGTGGACCGACTCAGATGCCCCTTGCTTCCCCACTGGCCAGTGCCGCTGGCAGTCTGTGCAATTCAGATCTCCCGTTGCTTTTTGTTTAATTTCATGTTCCTCAAGAATGTCCAACGTGTGCTACTCCATCATAGAAAATACTCCTGGGTTTTAAGATTTTTAAAAAATTATTTTTTAACGTGGAAGCTTCCAAGACAGAGAAAAGATGTTCCATCTGCTGGTTCACTCCCCAAATGGTTTCAAAGGCTGAGGCTGGGCCAGGCCGAAGCCAGGAGCCCTCTTTGGGTCTCCCATGCGGATGCAAGGACCCAAGGATTTGAGCCGTCCCCTGGTGCTTCCCCAGGTGCATCAGCAGGGAGCTGATGGGAAGAGGAGCTGCCAGGATGCAGATCAACGTCCTGCCAGTGTGGCAGACGGCCACTTAACCTGCTGTGGCCACAGTGCCAGCACCTCTTCATTTTAAAAGATTTGCTTGACATGCAGAGTTACAGAGAGTTCTACATATTGGTTCAGTACCCTAAAATCCACCATCCACCATGGCGGTGTGGGGGCCTCGCACTTGGCCCCCTGCAGCTTTCCTAAAGAGTTGAATCGCAAGTTGAGCAGCTGGTACTTTAACTGACACCCATATAGGAAGTTGGTTTCACGGCTGGCAGGTGGTAGCTTAGCTCGTGGCACCACAATGCTGTCCCAGGACTTGTATTTTTCTTTCTAAAAGATTTATGTGAAAGAGAGAGAGGGAGGCAGGGAGAAAGAGAGACCTCCCTAAGCCATGAGCAGCAAGCTGGATTGGAAGCAAAGCGACTGAAACATAAAGCGACACCTAAACGGGATGCTGGTGCCATAGGCACAAGATCAGTGTGCGGTGCCATTGTCCTCCCTCCACTTGCATTTGAAGATTTATTTATTTGAAAGTCAGAGAGAGAGATTTCTTTTGGGGGTCATGAGCTGGGAGCTGGATGAGAAGTGGAACCGTTGGGATAGGAACCAGAGCCGGTGTGGATGCCAGCATTCCAGGCGGCAGCTTTCCCCGCCATACCTCCTCACCACCTGGCAGGGGTCCAGGGCTTCCCTTCCCGAACTGCCGGCTCCTCCCCGCCCTGAGGCAGTACCCCTCCCTCCACTGCTTTCAGGGGGCCCTTGCAGGGCCATTGTACATTTATTCAGCTGTTCGTCATCTTTTTTTTTTTTAATTTATTTTTAATTTTTATTGTGAAGTCAGATATACAGAGAGGAGGAGAGACAGAGAGGAAGATCTTCCTTCTGATGGTTCACTCCTCAAGTGGCCGCAACAGCTGGAGCTGAACCAATCCGAGGCCAGGAGCTTCTTCCAGGCCCACTTGGGTGCAGGGTTCCAAGGCTTTGGGGCTGTCCTCAGCTGCCTTCCCAGGCCACAAGCAGGGAGCTGGATAGGAAGCGGGGCTGCCGGGATTAGAACCAGCGTCCATATGGGATCCTGGTGCGTGCAAGGCAAGGACTTTAGTCACTATGCTATTACGCTGGGCCCCATCAACTGTATTTAAACCTACAAACCTCAGTACTCTGGTAGTGCAGCTTTGCTTGCCTGGGCTGCGGCCGCGGCAAGGAGCAGGGTGTGCTCCTCCTGTGTGGGCTTGGATCCCTTCCGTGTTGAGGCAGGCCAACCTCCAGCGCCAGCTGCAAGCTGTATCTGTTCCTACCATCTGCAGCTTCTCCCAGGCGCCTTGTGGTGGAAGTGTGCTCTCCTCTCCTGGCCTGTCCAGGTCTGTGGGCTGTCTCGCTCAGCTGGACGCTGCCCTGCGGACAGGCGTTTGTCCTCAGTGAGGGCTGGGGCTGCTCTGCAGTGCATTTGGAGTGTCACCCTCTCACCCCGCCTCTGGCCTGCTGCGGCGTGTGAGTGTGGCTTGTGTCCCTGTGTTGCAGTTGAGTTTCTATTGTGAGGTTTTAAGCAGATGCATATTGCAGGCGTGGGGGTGTTTAGAGGCAGGGAGGTGGGGGTTAGGGGGCTGGGTCGGTTAAAGTCTCCAGGGTGGAGCATTGAGGTTAAACCCTGGTCACACACACACACACACACACACACACACACACACACCTCTCCCCTTGCGATACATGTCTAGCCTTGGGACTGTACTGATGAGAAGAACTGCTGAACCTTGGGTTCCAGATCTGTGGGCAAAATAAACATCTTCTTATGTTATTTTTTTTTAAAAGATTGTGTATTTTAAAAAAAGAATACACTTGTTTTTGTTTGAAAGGCATAGCTACAGAGAGTGAAAGAGGTAGAGAGAGAGTGTTCATCCCCTGGTTCACTTCCCAAGTGGCCACAATGGCTGGAGGGAGGACTGTCTGAAAACAAGAGCTTTCTGTCTCCTACGCGGGTGTCAGGGCCCAAGCACTTGGGCCATCCTCCTTTGCTTTCCCACTCACATTAGCAAAGAGCTGGTGGGAAGCGGATATGCGCAATGCTGGGCCTCAACCTCTTTTTCTGATAGTTACTCAGCCCCAAATATTCTATTATAGTAACCAAAAAGGACTAATTCAAAGACATTCAGGAGTGAGTTTCACCTTCCTGATCAAGTCACCCCAAGGTCACTTCCTCATCTCTGTGAAGAACCAGAGGGGTCGGGGCCTTTGTGCATCCCTATCTGTGACCTGACAAATTAGCCATGACAGATCCACGTACGTGGACAAGACACATGAACTCCTGGATCAAGGACCATATTACTCATGTCATGGTTGGGTCACATTTCGCCCCTCAAGCCATGCAGGGATGAGCAGGGAGCCTGTGCAGGGTTTGCAGAGGGTCTGAGCTCAGGGTGCCCCAACCTTTTATAACGGCTTTTCTTCTACTAGATGGAGAGAAAACTTGCCCTCTACGCCACAGAAGACACCGCCGGCCTTCTCCAAGGCTGTTGGCTGCTCCAGCATTTTAGACAACATAGATGGGGGCCAGCATCAAGACACAGTGGGCTAACTCCACGTGATGACAGGTTCACATTCCCCTGTTCCACCTCGGATCCAGCTTCCTGCTAGTGAAAGCAGTGGATGAAGGCCCAAGGGCTTGGGCTCCTGTACCCATGTGGGAGATCCAGATGGAGCTCCAGATGGCCTGGCCCCGGTGGTTGTAACCATTTGGGGAGTGAACCAGTGGATGGAAGATGCTCTCTCTCTCTCTCTAGCTCTGCCTTTCACATAGTAAATCAAGTCTTAAGAAAATATAGTCCAGAGCAAAAGGGCAGTTGGTGTCCCCACTTGTGGTGCAGAAATGTGCCCTGCCCACTGACAGGATTCTTCCCCACTGTTCGTGTGCATCCACTTACGTCTGTTTTCCAGTCTGTGGGCTCACTTCCTGTGCTGTGTCCTCCTGTCCAGGTCTTGCCCCGGAAGCCATCCTCTCCCTCCTGCATAGCTGATGAATGTGTCCCCAGATAGCCTCCAAGAAACCAAGCCAAGCAAGCACGCTCTGGCAAACCGTCCCCTTGGTAGCTGTGCCCTTCTCTTTCGAGCCAAGCTTGTGGCAGAGGAAGTCTGCCTTGTCTCCACTGCTCTCTGTACCAGCCACACCGCTGGGGCTGGACCTGACCCACTGGGACCGCCTGGCACCCCAGTGCTGGCCAGTTCCAGTGCAGCTGCATCTGCCTCTGACCTTGAACAGCACAGGATCTCGGGGCCCAGAGCCCTCTCATGCTCTGGGCATGTGGCGCTGAGTCGACTCCTGCAGTAGCCTGTGCTTGTCAGGGCCTTCTCTCGTGAGCTGAGCACCGGCTGAGCCAGGCCACGGTGTCCCTTCTGTGGCCTTCGTCTCCCTCAAACCAGTCCTCCTCCCGTGTTCCTCTCAGTGGTGGCTGGTGTCTTCAGCCACTAGCTAGCACCAACCATTATGTCGCTCGACCATTTCTACTCCACCCCATCCCAGAACTCTGAAACGGTGATTGATTGCTGTACAGGCCGGCTTCATCACACCACACAATTGTACATTAGTCTCTAAGAGTTTCAGAGACAAACACAAATTTCATGTATTTGCTTAGACATTGTAATTACAAATTTTTAAAAGATTTATTTATTTTTGTTGGAAAGGCGGGGCTACAGAGAGGAGAAACAGAAAGATCTTCTGTCAACTGCTTCACTCTCCAGGTGACTGCAGTGGCCAGAGCTGGGCCAATCTGAAGTCAGGAGGCAGGAGCCTCTTCCAGGTCTCCTATGTAGGTGCAGGGTTCTGAGGTTTTGGGCCATCCTCTGCTGCTTTTTCCAGACCATTAGCAGGGAACTGGATAGGAAGTGGAGCAGCTGAGATAGGAACTGGCACAAGGCGAGGATTAGCCAATTGAGCCATTGCACCAGGTTCATCTCTCAAGTTTTCTTTTTTAAAGGTTTATTTATTTATTACTGGAAATGCAGATCAGATTTACAGAGAGAAGGAGAGATAAATCTTTCATCCACTGCTTCACTCCC